GCTATGGCACATAATTTAATTGTTAATTATGGGTAATGTATTATAAACAAATCTTAGTCTATACCGAAACTTGGATGTATATATGAATAGATAGGCTTCATTGAAAGAGATGGAGAAATTTCATGAACCAGAATATTTGCAATATTTGAGTCAATTCACAAGTGTTAGAAGTCAAATTGTTAATGAGTATTAACACTATAATCAACAACCTAATATCACTCATTTTACTAGTCACATCTATAATGAATTTGATTTGTTAGATTATAATATACCACACACTCATGAACCCATTGAAACTAATAATAATTATCCACAACCAAATAGTTTTAGAGTAGGAGACTCTACAGATAACCCTAGCTTTCCAGGTCTATATGATTTTTGTCAATTATCTGCAGGAGGGTCAATTGATGCTGCTCATGTGTTGATTTCATAAGATGCAGAAATAGCCATTAATTATTCTGGAGGTTTACATCATGCAAAGAAAAGAGAAGCTAGTGGATTTTGTTATGTCAATGACATTGTTATAGCTATATTGGAATTGTTGAGAGTGCATTAGAGAGTGTTGTATGTTGATATTGATGTACATCATGGAGATGGAGTTGAAGAGGCATTTCTTTTAACAAATAGAGTGATGACTTGTTCATTCCATCAATATGGAGATGATTTCTTTCCAGGTTCAGGAGATATTGATAGTTATGGAGAAGGATTAGGTAGATATCATGCTCTCAATATCCCTTTGAAAATTGGGATGAATGATGAAACATTTACAGAAATCTTTTAGAAAATCATAACCTAAGTTATGGATATCTATAGACCAGAAGCTGTAGTCTTATAATGTGGAGCTGATTCATTATGTCATGATAGATTGGGTGGATATAATTTATCAACTAAAGGTCATGGTGCTTGTGTTGAATTTATGATTAAATACAATGTTCCCATATTGGTTTTAGGAGGTGGAGGATATACAATATAAAATGTAGCTAGATGTTGGGCTTATGAAACTGGATTGTGTTTGAATAAAAAAATTGATGCTCCTATTCCAACTTCTGAAATTTATTATGAATATTATGGTCCAGACTATAAATTGCATTTCCCAATCAAATAAAATGTAGAAAATAAGAACAAGAAAGAAGAACTCTAAAGAATAGTGGAGAAAATATATGGGTATCTAAAATCTATTGAACCTGCTCCAGGGATCTGCTTTCATGATTTACCTTAATCATTTTATCCAGAAATGAATGTAGAAGAAGGTATTTAATATTTTAATTCCTAGAAATAAATCCAGATTAACGTTATGAATAAACATTAAATTAATTTGAGGGTGCCCATTATGAAGAAGGAAATGAAATTTTAGTTGATCCATCTAATGGATTCTCTATTCATAGAAGAGAATGATAAACTATATATATTTAATCAATTTTTGATGACTCATTCTTTTATAAATAGAATAAACAATGACTCATATGATATTATTCTTACTATTAAATACTGTAATGATCAAAATTATTAAAAATATTGATTTTTTAATAAATATTTTAATAAAATTTCTAACTATTCTCTAATAATTAAAGTTATTAATAACATCTTTATGTGAAACAAAAAGATGTCTATACTTGGAAACTTAAAATTTATATTCTTTATAAAAGTAATAGTATAAGTAATGAAATAAATGAAGAGTTTTTACACTCAGTTATTTTGTTTGCCTATCAATTTTCATATATAAAGTAAAAAATTTCTAAATTCCCAACATCTTATATAAAAAAACTAAATTAATTCACTTTATATAAAATATAATATATATTAAGGAACATTGAAGATTTTATGGATATATTTAACAAATTAATGGATTAGTTTATGAAATTAAGGAATAAGATTTGATAAATAGTAAAATATTAGAATTCTGATATATAAATATTAGTGAAACTAATAATAAGTACTAATGATAATGATATATATCAATATATTTGAAATTAGATATGATATATATGGGTGAAAATTAATAAATGATCAATAATTATTAAATGATCAATAATTAATAAAATGATCAATAAAACCACATAATTCAAATCCTTATTTCACAGTCATTCAACTTCCTTTTGGGATGATTGTAAATTAGAACACTTTAGTAATGTGAGTTTTGAAGGTATCTTTTAAGCCAAAATGGGAGAACTTATGAGCAATGTATTTGTCAAGGTGAAATTCTCATACTTGATAATAATATAGGGAGATGTACAAATTTTATTATGAGACAGAAATAACTTATTGCCAACATAGAGAATGCTATAATTTACTTAATTAAAGATGGTAATAATGATGTGGGAGTAAAAATACTAAAGGGTATAGGATGGTTAGAACTTTATGGTGATGTAATTGAACTGTTTAATGTATTGAAGAAATAATGCATCCAGATAGACTTTGTATTAAAATATAAAGTGAAGAAGTTGATGGCAAAAGGTACTTTTGCAAATGTAAGTACTGATTTAATAATTGCTAGGTATTTTTGGCAGAAAATGCTAAGACAAATGAATAATTTGCAATCAAATGTTTTGATAAGAATTAAATTTTGAAGAGCCCTAAAAATTTATAATCACTTTAAAAGGAATTAAAGATTCTTAGATTAATGAAACATAAATAAGTAATGACATTAATAGAGACATTTGAAACAGTTAGTTATGTTTTTGTTGTATAAGAATATTTAAGAGGTGGAGACTTGCATGATTATATTACTAAAGTAGGTCAATTATCAGAAAGAAAAGTGCATTCTGTAATATCTCAATTGGTAAGTGGATTAGCATTTATTCATTCTTAAGGTGTTATACATAGAGACATAAAACCAGAGAATATTATTCTAAGAAATCAAGATAATGTAGAAGATTTAGTAATATCTGATTTTGGATTAGCAGATTTTTATAATTTTGATGGCAATTACCTATATAAATAATGTGGTACACCTGGATATGCAGCTCCAGAAATTTTGATTGGTCAGCCTTATGATTATAAGGTAGATGTCTATAGTTTAGGAGTAGTATTTTATACTCTTATAACAGGAAGAAGACCATTTTAAGGTAAGAATACTGATCAAATATTTTAATTAAATGAAAAAGGGGAGATTAACTTTCAAAATCTTCACATTAAAGCTGAAGGATTGAATCTATTAAAAAAAATGCTTGAAATACGACCAGAACATCGTTATTCTTTATGTATGATTAAATCACATATTTGGTTAAAAAAAATAAATCTTAAAGCTCATTTAAGTTTGTAATACATTAATGTACCAGAAAGTATTAAAACTGGAGGAAGTATTACTCCGAGAATTCTTATGACTAAAAATTATAATGTAAAATAGGTTCTTAAGACTGAATAAAATCAAAGCACAGAAAGAAGACATTACAAATAATCTGGAGGTCGATATAATATTTCTATTGGAAATTTCACAAAAATATAAGGAATAGTATATTGATTTTATGAATTCTGTATTAATTCATCATATATTTAAACATATCAAATCAAACATTAACATAATTATTATTATTTTTAATAATGTCAACAGGTTATGAACGTATTGACTTAGAAACTCTAAGGAGAGATGATCAACTTAATGGATTATTATAGAGAATTAGAGAAGATGTGATGAATGGATATGTAGTAGAAGTTAAAACAAGAGCCAATACATATAATCAAGTAAAGAAATTGATCAAATTAGTTAGAAAGCAATTCTAAGTAAAGTTCTAGATTGTCATCTATGTGCAATTCAATAGTTAAATAACCTATTATTTAATAAAACGAATAACACAAAGATTTAGAAGAAATTGTTATAACATCATAAAGAGATCAATAATAAATACCAAATCATTCTAAAACACTAGGTAATTCCCCTCCTAAAGTCAAAAGTGAAATAATAAAACCAGTTGTCTTAAACTAAGAATTATCACCTGAATAAACTTATCAATAAATTTCATTTAAAGAAGAACCAAAACCTACTAAAACTATTTCCTAATAATTAGATGAAATAGAAACGAATGCAGATACTGGTGATTGTTAGAACTATATTAAAATCTTGAAGACAATTAACTCTTAGCTCTAACAGTAAATGAATGAAAGTCTTCAAGATTGCAACCATTTATTCAGTTAGGCAATTTAGATTGTTAGAACTAAGTGTCTATTAACAAGATTTTATAAATAAGTAGGTGATTTCAAAAATGCTATTAGATAGTTGAAAGCTATTTAGAAATAATTCAAAATTTTAGAACCAAATTTAGTAGGAAAAATTCTGATTGAATTAGGAAAGTTGCATTTTCTTAATCAAGCTTATTAGAATGCTCAATCTTCTTATTATATGGCTTTGTAACATTATGAAAAATTGGAATGGAAATCTGAAATAGCTCATATATTACTTCTGATGGCAAAATTACATGCTTGGACTAGTAATATATTATTTATATCTAGAAAATTTTGAATTATCAAAAAAATTAACATATGGTGCAATAGCCATTCTTAAAGAATTCCTTTAAGATGATCATGAATCTATAGCTGAAGCATATATTGTATTAGGAGAATGCAATTATATTTCTAAAAATTCAGATGAAGCTATCGAATTTTTAATGAAGGCAGTTAAAATTAAATATTAAATATATAAGGACTATAAGCATTTAAAATTTGTTGAAGTATTTAATCTTTTAGGACTGACTTATGGATTAATACCTGATATACAATAATCACTTAATTATTTTATATAAGCATTACAATGCTTTTAGTAAATATTCTAACTAAATTAGATAAAATTGTGTCTAAAGAGCATAAATTCTTAATAATATATCTGTGATCTATCAAGCATAAGGAGATGTAGATAAAGCTAGTAAATGTCATTTTAAAGCCAAAGAAATCTACTCAACTTTCTTACCAAATTAACATAATTAGATGTAAAGATTAATTTTAAATTAAACATGTACATCTCCTCCTATGTGAATTAAATATTTAATTTATATATTTATATATAATCATCATTCTTCTTCTATTTCTTTCTCTATCTCTTTTGCTAATTATCTAATTTATTAAGAAACATCTATCATTCCTGATTTTTGGATTTTTTCAAACCAAACTAATGCTGCCTTCTTATTTCTTTTGATCTTATCTCCACCTTCCCAATACATCATTCCAGCATTAAACTTAATATATTAAATATTTCCATACCTAAGATAAAGGAAATCCTAAATTTCCAGCATGTGTAAACCATGCCAAAGCTTTAAAATCATCCTTCTTAGTTATTCTACCTTCTCTATATATTACACCTAAATTGTGTTAAGCATCTAATAATCCCATTTCAGCAGCTTTCTTAGTGTAATGAAATTCTAAATTAGGATCTTTCTCACAAACTATTCCTTCACGATGACTATTATAGAAAAACAAAAGAATGTACAATTTAGCTAATTTAAAGAATGCTTAAGGATTTTCATAAGCAGCAGCAATAAAATAACATTCTATAGCAAATTTTAAATCTATTCCTCCAGGAGTATCACCTCTTTCTGCCATTTCTCCAATATAATAATAAGAATGTGGAAATTCATTTTCTGCACAATCAAAAAATAATTTATATGCTTCTTTTAATAATTTCTCTCTATCTTTTCTTTGTTTTGATTACATCATATTCATTGCTACTTTATACATTTCTTTAGCCACTAAATGTTAAGCTGGTTTATTCCCTTTATTTGCTAATTCTAATAATTAGTGTTATGCATCATCAAATTTAGCTTAATCTCCTTTTTAAGATGCATCTAATTTTTTTAAATAAGCCAAATAATATTCAGTATTTAATTTTTCAGGCTCATCAACTGCATTCTTTTTTGCATGAGATAAAAATAATTATGTAATTTATTCATTTTTTGGAGTGTCTAACTAAAATTAAACTTATATCTATACACATTGATCCAACAAATTATTCTACTGCTGCAACACATAAATAATGAGATTTAACTGAAGATAATACTTATTCAACCAATGGAAATTAATAAGCCCTTTCAGTCACAGATTTCATATCAAAAATAATTTTCTATATGGCTAATTTCAACTCTTCATTTTCAACTTAAGCATTCATAATTTAATCTGTCAATTTATAATAGTCAACTTGTTTTTCTGTTGAAAATGTGAATCGTCTAAATAATCTTCTAAACATTTTATAATAATTAAAATAAATAATTAAAAAAAAAGACTGATAATAAGTATCTATAGATAAATAATCATTAAACACTATCTGATCTTTATGAGAATAACTTATCTACTAATTTATCTTAAGCTTTTTATTTTAAGAATTATTTCGAATTTGTTTTGCTCATTATTTTATTATTAATTAATCCATATGGATCATTTACTTTTATGCTACGCTTTCTTTCTCCTTAAGCTGATACTACACTACATCTTGAATTAGTTCTACTATCTCTAGTCATATTTATTGATTTCTCTTTTAAAGGGATAATCAATTTATATTGCATTGAATTTGCACTCTATGCATGTTTTAATTTATTAGTATTGTTAAATTAACTAATTATATTGATTATTTTTGAATAGTCCTAAGCATTAGCTTATGTCAATTATTTTAAGCTTTTATTTGGTTACTTAATAGACTGAGTCATTTAACTACTATCTTGAGTTGTTGTTGTATGTGTATTTCGTCTTTATGTGATATTTGAAGTTATTTTAATTGGTTGCTTGAGAAATCCCTTAAAGTCATCAAAATAATAAGAAGGCATCGAGATTTCTCTTTTTTTTATTTTCTATGGCATTCTCAAAGTTCCATTGTTCCCAATATCTGGATTAAAGAACTAAGCTGTTTGTTAAAATTGTGCAAAGCTCTAATCAATACAAGACATTCAAAAAATGTGATTGTTAAAAATATAAATTACACATCTCAATTATACTATTAAGGCATTTTATATTCGAAATCACCCAATTTCTCTCTTCTTATATAACCTACATAAGGCATAACTTCTATCCAAACTTCAAAATTCACTGTAGCATTACGCAATTATTTATGTATATCTTTAAGTGGATATTCAGCTCTTTAATTTTTAAGAACAAGCTAACATTACAATTTAAATTACTTTTGATGAAGTACTCCAACTGCTAGGATCATCTGGTCTAGAAATGATTTTATCATATATCACACAATCTGATTCAAACTAATAAATTGATAAAATCACTATACTCCTTTCTCTTAATGCTTATGATGAACATTCACATATAAAAATAATTGCTTTAAATTCCAATTATACACAGGTTCGAAATCTAAATATATTACGTGTATCAAAAACCTGCCTCCAATGAAAATTTAAACGTCACCTAATCCCAATCAGTTACACCACCATTATAATAAGTTGCCTTGAAATGATGACTAAACAAAATAATCATTTTATCTGCAATACAATTTATCTGCACTCAATATCTTTAGATCTACTGTTGGCTTTCCAGTCTTAAAAAAATATGCTGTGCCTTAATTAAGCAATGATAGCACGACTTCTCTAGAATGAGTATTATACCTAATGTCCATGATGTGAAGAACACGATTTAATTAAAACGAGCTGTAATTGAATACATTATTTAATTATTTATCAATATTAAATATTTACAAACTCTCTTAGCATTTAGTTTTTATTAAATTTGTTTATCTATTTTCTTTTTCCATTATCTTTTTAGTTTCAGGGTAAATTATATTATTAAGCAAATTATTACAATCCTGATCCAATTTATACACATTTCATTTATTCATTAATTCACATTTAACCATCTAAATCATATATATAAAATAATTATCAACTGTAAATTACTTAGGTTATGTTTAGTATCAAGTTAAATTCTAAATATTTGATATTGCATTTTGATATATGTGGAATAAAAGTTTTATTTATGTAAAATTCTTTTTATTTTTATAAAGAATTAATTATTCAGTTATAATAATATTGATATTTTTTTTATTTATTTATTAAATCAAAAATCATTTTTCTGATTTCATTCTCCCCTTAGGTGGGTCAGGATGAAAACTATCTGGGACTTCTTTTTTATGGAACTGATTCATAAGAGTCCTCAATGATCTGAAATTTTTTTATTCTTTTTAACATTGACTCCATACTAAAGGTAGTACCTTGGATGCCTTCCCATCTTTGAAAGATACCTTTAAGTTTTCTCAATATATCCTTCACTTTCTTTCCAACTCCATAGGCAAGGAAATTTTTGCTTTAAACTCACATAAATCATCAAGAGCCCTAAAGACCATATCAAAAAGTTTCTTGAAGATTGGCCAGCTAAATTCTGGTATTCAGGAAAGAATTAACCTGATAATAACTTAAAATTTTTGGTTAATTTTACCTACATCCACAAAATAAAAGATAAAAATAATAATATTATATCATTACTCAATTTTCATCTTATGACCATCTTTTGAATTATTATTGAAAATTTCATAGAATTCTTCATTAAAATACAAATCCTTTAACAAAAATAATCTTTTAGAATTTAATTTAATACATTTAAGAGCCAGTAGGCAAGTAACCATCTACTTCTTCAAAATTCTAATTTTTATCATACAGAGCAACATCTTATAGCTATATATGTTTAAAGATCCATTGATCTACATATTAACACTTCTTACAGGCAAATTTAAATTTATCCATATAACCCTTATTAGGAGTTTATATAATTTTAAGATTATCACTAAACAACTCTTCTTTTTTACTTAAATTATAGTGTTTACTTCTTATTTCACTCTTTTTCAATCTAATATCATTATCTTAATATTACAAGTCATCAAGAAATTACAAAAATTTCATTAAGTCTTATGGGCTATGATCATATTTAAGTTCTCTTCTCCAAAATTATTCTTTAGTAGATACCAAAATACCATTTGGTCTAAATTCAAATTAATTCTAAATTTTATTATTTTCACCATCCATTTGGAAACACTTAGGTAGTTTTAAGGATATATTTACGGATATTCTATGTAATTTTTACGATTTTCCACATGTGCTTCGGAGATATATCTCGTCAAGGTAGCGACATAATCAAAATAAGGCTTGATAAAGGAGTTCCATAATTAAGGCATAAGACTTATAGAAAAGAAATGATTAAAAGTAACACGTCATTTACTCTTATAAAATATTCTCTCTTTGATTAATTTCCTATGATTTTAAGGACTACCTTTTGTAGAAATCAATACTTCTAAATATTTGAAGCATGTTGCTCTTGCAATTCCCTTCAAATAATATTTTTCCTCACCTTTTTTTAAATTAGGTACAAAGTTTGATTATTTTATCGCAAAATTTATCTTCTAAGCTAGTTCAATAAAATTCATTCACTATCCAACTAGTTAATGGACTGAATGTAGAGATTGCTATATAATCTGCATAAGCAATGACTTTTGTCCATAGAAGTTATTGATGAGTTATATTTTTTGCACTTTGCATTTTAATCTAACCCTTTTACAAACTTTTAATTAATTGATCAGAGTGAATATCAAATAACAAGGAGCTAAAATCTATCCTTAATTCATTCAATTCTAAAGAAATCTTATTTGTTTCAGCAAAATTGTAAATATATTATTTATCATAGATCCATTCAAATACATAATTCTTTCTCACTGAAAATACCTCTAAATTTATATTATTATCTTCTTAATTTTTATCTTAGTCCCTTCTAACATTTTGATGAGCATTAGATAAGGCTAAAAAATAGTTATCCTACCTTTTAATTTTTTTTTCACTTAAGATTACATTAATCTCACCAAGCTGTGAAATAAATAAAATTTAAGAAATATTGATTTTAGTTGAACAAATTTCTTTAAACCTAGCAAGTTAGTGAGTTTCGATCAACTTAATAAATCACTATCACCTTAATTGGTCTAAATAATCCCCAAAGGGAATATTTAGATGCATTTTGTTAAGAAATTCCAACCTCATAAAGAAAAGGCAATCCAGTAAAACTATTATTTGAAATTTAAACTACAATTAAAATTCTTTATAAAAAAAGCTTGTTAAATGTTTCATTTCTTACTCAGTTATAAGAAGCTGCTTCATAATACTTCTTAACTTCTTTCATTATTTCTCACTGATTTATATAACAGAGTTATTAAGGTAAAAAATCATATCTTCGGAAAAGTTATTCTTGTTAAATTGAGAGAAGATCTTGAATGTATAAAGACAAAACTTTCTTATGATAAAACATAAGTCTCCAATAAACATTTTTTACAATTATTTATAGAGCCTTCTAAAAAAAATGGTTCAAGTTTCTTGAGTGTTAATTCTCTAGATTTCTTACAGAAGAGTAAGGCTTTGTTGGCTTAAATGGTTTCACTCAATTTTAATTGACACTAATCCCGTAGTCTACATATTAAAATTCATAAAAAGTAGGGTTATTGAAAAATTATATATTAATAAACATCTAAAGTATTAAATTTAATTTCATTTAGGAACTCATTAAGGAATTTAGTATTAATCAAAAGTATTTTGAATAGGTCCTCCTTAGGGATCCCTATAGAAGCAGTCAGAGGATTATGAACTGAATAATAATTAAAAATACTCCATGATTCCTTTATTACATATTTTCATTGTATATTTTTCTTATCATCTAATAATCATTCTATCTACCTTTAGTTCCATCAATTTTTTTTGTGATATTCTTATTTATCAGGTTGTAATAGGGATTGGGATTTTTTCTATTTTGAATTACTTATTATTACCATATGCATTGCTAAAAATTAATCCATTTAAATTTATTTGCAAAAATACATATTTCCACTTACATAATAATTTAGAAACATTTTTAATTAACTTTATTAAATCTGCTGTAATTCAAAGTTTTGATCAAAATATACTAATAATAAAAATTGCATAAAATTAGAATTTTTCTATAAAACATTGATTTCGGATCAAGAAGGAAGTTTAACCTTTTATATGGAAAAAATTGAGCGAACTTTAGATCCTTTATAATAAAAGTATGAAGATTTTATTGAAACTCTTTAGAAATTTTTGCTAAAAGTATTAATAGATGTAAGATTTTATTTTGATAATTAATAAATGGAAAGTATAAATTAGATGATGAACTATCAAAAAAAAAGTTATGAGTACAAAATTAAATTTCAAATACAAATAAAGAGTAAAAAAATACTTTATTTTTTGATTTATTGTGAGAGATTTATTAACCTTAAAAAATTTTATTATCATAATCTTTAATCCAATCTTATTTTTAGATCTTGTAGTTATCTTTTTTCTTGACTTTAAGNACTTCTTTCATTATTTCTCACTGATTTATATAACAGAGTTATTAAGGTAAAAAATCATATCTTCGGAAAAGTTATTCTTGTTAAATTGAGAGAAGATCTTGAATGTATAAAGACAAAACTTTCTTATGATAAAACATAAGTCTCCAATAAACATTTTTTACAATTATTTATAGAGCCTTCTAAAAAAAATGGTTCAAGTTTCTTGAGTGTTAATTCTCTAGATTTCTTACAGAAGAGTAAGGCTTTGTTGGCTTAAATGGTTTCACTCAATTTTAATTGACACTAATCCCGTAGTCTACATATTAAAATTCATAAAAAGTAGGGTTATTGAAAAATTATATATTAATAAACATCTAAAGTATTAAATTTAATTTCATTTAGGAACTCATTAAGGAATTTAGTATTAATCAAAAGTATTTTGAATAGGTCCTCCTTAGGGATCCCTATAGAAGCAGTCAGAGGATTATGAACTGAATAATAATTAAAAATACTCCATGATTCCTTTATTACATATTTTCATTGTATATTTTTCTTATCATCTAATAATCATTCTATCTACCTTTAGTTCCATCAATTTTTTTTGTGATATTCTTATTTATCAGGTTGTAATAGGGATTGGGATTTTTTCTATTTTGAATTACTTATTATTACCATATGCATTGCTAAAAATTAATCCATTTAAATTTATTTGCAAAAATACATATTTCCACTTACATAATAATTTAGAAACATTTTTAATTAACTTTATTAAATCTGCTGTAATTCAAAGTTTTGATCAAAATATACTAATAATAAAAATTGCATAAAATTAGAATTTTTCTATAAAACATTGATTTCGGATCAAGAAGGAAGTTTAACCTTTTATATGGAAAAAATTGAGCGAACTTTAGATCCTTTATAATAAAAGTATGAAGATTTTATTGAAACTCTTTAGAAATTTTTGCTAAAAGTATTAATAGATGTAAGATTTTATTTTGATAATTAATAAATGGAAAGTATAAATTAGATGATGAACTATCAAAAAAAAAGTTATGAGTACAAAATTAAATTTCAAATACAAATAAAGAGTAAAAAAATACTTTATTTTTTGATTTATTGTGAGAGATTTATTAACCTTAAAAAATTTTATTATCATAATCTTTAATCCAATCTTATTTTTAGATCTTGTAGTTATCTTTTTTCTTGACTTTAAGTTATCTTTTCAAAAATGGTATCAGTTAGATCAATATGTGTTTTGATAAATTAAATTTCCTATATTTATTCTAAAATTTGTTTCTGTTTCATTTCTTTGCTTATAAATAATATTCGATGACATCCCATATGTTTAAAACTATCTCTCAAATGTTCTTTATCTTCATTTACATTGTCACTTAATTCCATATTTACAACTATAATTGATATAATATCTTTAAATTTTCTTAGATATTTTAAAACTTATAACACTTTTTTCTTCATTAAATCTGTTCTTTCAAAATTAACAACTATTCCAAAACTTGAAATATATTTTCTATTATCAAAATATTCCTAGAATTCCTTTATAAAAATTTCTCTTGTTTCTATTTCATCATCTAATTAAAAGGATGGTGTGTCTATAAAAAAATATTCATTTAATTTTCCTTCATGGTAATTTGAAATGGTAGATGTTGTTTCATTTGGAACATCTGATAATTCCAATTATTTAAAAAGAGTGCTTTTTCCAACTCCTGCTGTCCCAAGCAACATTAAGTATTTTTCTTAAATAGGCTATATCTAATTTGTATCCTTTTAAATTATTGGTTAAATCTCAATTTTTCCTTATTAAATTTCTTTTTCTTAAACAACAGATGTATTCTTTTGTTATTCTTGTTCACTCTATTGTTCACCCTATTGTTCACCTTTTGTATTTAAATTGGCTACTACTTCATTTAAATTTAAATTTCCAGGATTGTTTTTACTCTTTTAACAACAAGAACCCATTTATATATATCTTGCAATTATTCTATTGTCCGAATTTTTATTAAAAGTTATTAATAGAATTAGTTAATAGAAATATGTTAATTTGAAGATTTAAATTAATTTGTTATAATAATATATGTTATAAATTTACCTCTAAATATTTACATATATAAAATATTTATACATAATGGAAACAACTTAAATTTTACAATAATAAACCTAACTTGAATTTAATTATAAAAAATGTAAATTTATAAATCAAGATCTAATCTAACATTGAATAATTTAAGAAATAAACTCACTTTAAATTCGATGCTCATCTATAATATCAATACTTTAAAAAATGGTATCAGTTAGATCAATATGTGTTTTGATAAATTAAATTTCCTATATTTATTCTAAAATTTGTTTCTGTTTCATTTCTTTGCTAATAAATAATATTCGATGACATCCCATATGTTTAAAACTATTTCTCAAATGTTCTTTATCTTCATCTACATTGTCACTTAATTCCATATCTACAACTATAATTGATATAATATCTTTAAATTTTCTAAGATATTTTAAAACTTATAGCACTTTTTTCTTCATTAAATCAGTTCTTTCAAAATTAACAACTATTCCAAAACTTGATATATATTTTCTATTATCAAAATATTCCTAGAATTCCTTTATAATAATTTCTCTTATGTTTATATCATCATCTAATTAAAAGGAAGGTGTAGCAACAATGACATATTCATCCAGAATTTCTTCTTAAAAATTCTGTTATTAACAATTTGCTAAATTTTTTTAATCCTATAAAGAATATCTTGAATTATAGTATTAAATCTTTTTAAGATTCATTTACTTAATTAATTTTTCTTTTCCGGCTCCAGATGGCCCTATTAATACTAAATAATGTTTATCATCAAGTTATTATTCAGAATTTTTAATATCAATTGGTTTGATATTTGGTTTTAAATTTTATTAGCTTTTATTTAAATTCCCATTATCATAGTGGCTTAAACTTTTTGTATCACTCTATTTTGGTTTAAAATCATTCAAATTGGATATACTACTTTTGCTGTTGTCTTGATTTTCAGGGCAAATACTACAAAAAAGATTTCCCATTATTATTATCTTATTATTTATTTATCATCTAGATTTCAAAATATTTGCTAATAGAATTTGTTTTAAAATAAGTTTAATAAAAAGAACAATTATTAGTTAAATTAAACTTATCAATGAATATTCAATAAATATTAAATATATTTTAATGCTAAGTACGTTTATTTAAGCTTATTGTCTAAAATCGATAATTAAAGCAAATTTTCAATTTTAAAATTAATATAAAAAAATCGAATAATTTATAATGTATAATACTGAGTTTTGGGTAAAATATGTATTTAGAGTGCTTCACATAGGAAGTGTTACAGCTTTAGGAGGCCGTATAATATATGATTACTTATGGCCAGATCAAGTAGAGATTACCAAAGGCTAGGCCTTATTTGCAGGAATTTCAGGATTCTTTATGATTTTAGCAGGGATTGTTAACATATTTTTATTGAAAGGAAAAGAAAAATTAAAATCTAAAAATAAATTTTGGGCTGGTACCTTACATCTGAAAGCAATCACAAGTAAGTTTAATTGTAATATTGAAAGCGATTATAATTCTTACACCTCTAGCTAATTATCTATCAAATGATCCCTAAACTGTGAAAGGGATATAATTTTATTATGTAGTGGCAATGTTGCTGCTGAGTCCTTTTTTAAGATTCTATCGTGAATGGTGGACAGAGTTAAATAGATAAAATAAATTTAGTTGAAATAATATTAACTAATTTTATAATAAATAAAATGATTTTAAAACAATATGATTAAATAAATTTAAATATCTTTTCTCAAAGTTTATTTTAAAAAATCTAAATGTTTTTTATATTACCCCATTCTTTGAAAATTTAGATTGTTAGTAAAAATCATATTAGTATTAAGTTTAATTAATGAACATATTGATTAATTTATTTGATAATTCTAAACTAATTCTTGAGATAATAATAATATGTTGATTCCTGGAAGCTGAAATCCTGAGACGAAGAAATAAACAATAAATTATTATAAAGAGAATAAATATTAACTTGATAAATTAAACGATGAAACATGCAAAAAAAACAAATAATTAAAAATTGTAACATATTTTAAGTTAGAATTTACAGTTATTGTAATATATTAATCTTTAATTAAAAGAATAAAATCAAAATACTAGTTTCAGCTTATGAAAATTTTTAAACACATCATAGTTCTACCTCTTAGAAAATGATATTAAAATAATATCTTTTATTTATTTCTGCTATATCATTTTCTGGTAAAAATATACACTTATACACCTCTTATCAGGAAAAATACAAATGAAATTCAACTAAGGGAAAAAATGTTTTCATAAATTTTAATAATGATAAAATATTAATAGTAGAAAATAAGAAAAATAAGAAAAAGGATATTAAATCACATATATTTAAGATATTAATCTTATTAAATTCATTACTATAATAATTTAAATAGAATATATTATGATTAATTATTTATATTATCAAATATTGTATTCACTTTTAGTTTAAGGTTATTTATGTTTGGTTATCCAAGGATGTTTGAGCATTTATTCAATCGTCAATCTTTTGTTTGGATCAGATTGAAGACCTCCTTTTACAAAGAAAGTTAATTCAGCAGAAAAAGTATGGGGAATTGTTAAGCGATGCTAAAGAAAATAAAATGATTCTGAATACTTTTATTATATTATCCATTATTCCTTTGTGATCTTTATTACCCAAAAGAACAAATGGGGTTTATCCATATACTAATTCATAAGCAAGCACAGCTATTTACCATGCATCCACTCTTGAGTCATATCCCTTCATTTAAATCACTTCAGGTGCCATAAACTCAATTGTTCCACAAAAGGTTTCTCTTCGGTCTTGATTGGAACAAACACAACCAAAATCTCCAATTTTTATTTGATTAAATGATAACATGATATTTTCTGTCTTCAAATCTCGATGCATAACTTTGTTTTGATGCATATACTATATGCATTGCAGAATTTAGTGTATATAATATGATGCTTTATTCTAAGTATTGAAGGCACAATTACTTCTGGGAACTTATATCCAGGTTACTTTCTTTGGACTTTAAACAGTTCACCTTCATTGCAATATTCCATCAACAAGTACAAATTCTATTCATCAGAGTAGCAATTATACAACTTAACTATGTTTGGATGATTAAGATTCATTTGCACTTTAATTTCTTGGATCATTTGTTTCTATAACTATTCATCTTAAATTTTCTCTTTTTTAATCACTTTCAAAGCATATATTGTACTAGTCAATTTGTCGCTTATTTTAAGGTCTGATAGTACATGCACATATGAACATCTGAAAATTGTCCTCTTCCTAACAATTTGCCAATTCTAAATTGAGGAATTCCTTCAAATGTATGGAATCTCGATTTTGGAAACCAAGATTGAACAGTTTTATAAGTCTATATTCTTGACATTGTCATACAATCCTAAGGGGAAACTTTTTTCAACATAGGTGAGGCAATTCTGCTAGTCATATTCACTAATGTTGGTGGTTTATGTAATTATTCAGCTGTTGATTTAGATGAAGTTGATTCTTTACTACCACCTCTTAATGTTTAATTAACTGAATCACGTAATCTTAATAAGTTTTATTCGAGAGTGACTGTTCTAGCAATTAGGCCATTCCATTTTGTTTAACTTTCGTGCATCTTTTAGGACATTGACATTTTCATATTATTTTATACTTTTTCTGGTTTCTTAGGTTCTGAATTGCCTCTAACTTAAGTTGGTTTTTAAAGATAAAATGATTTCATATAAAATATAATTGCTTATTATCAATTTATAATATAATAATTACATATAGTGCTTATAAAATCTTATAGACAATTATTATTTTATATTTTTCTAAAAGTACTAATATAATTAATTTTTATGCTTTGTTAAATCAAAATTGACTTAATATTTAAGTTCTATTGAGAAGTATTAGAGAGAAAGAAAGTCTAAAATATTCAATAAAAAAACACAATTTAAAATAATCTAAATACTCAATACTAATTATTAAAGCTTTCCTGATGTTTTAATATGATGATCTAAATTAGAATAATAATTTTATAATTAATAGAAATAATGATTAAAAACTAACAATAAATATACTCTTTCTTTTAATACAATTATTAAGGAAATTAGAAGAATCTCCTTAATTTAATTTATTTCTTCTTTAAAAATAAGTGATTCTCTCTTTTGCATAATTTACTTTTATCAATGCTCTTTTATATGCATTTTATATTTTATAAAATTAATTAATGTTTTTTTTAAAATATGTTTTAATTACTTTAGTGGTTTCAATCTGAAGGGATTCTTACAGAAAATATAAAAATCACAGAACTTACTTAAGGATGCAATGGTGTTGTTGCTACTTAACCTATTCCATCAGATTAAGTATCTATGTTTATTTATGTAAAAGATCATAATTAAAATTCCACTTCATTTGTGTATATTTAGTGATGATCTATTAAACAATCATTATAAAAGATACAAGAAATATTATCCTCATATATTTAATATCGATTTAAATGAAGATGCTGAGTTTAACACACTTGTTTTATATATGTAAAAATCAATCCTTATTCTAAAGATTACAATAAAGAGATAACGAAATGTCATTACATAAACCATATTTTGATTATGTTAAAGACCCTTAAAATATATTATCTTGGACTTAATAATAAGTTGATACTATATTGGATGAAAACTTGAAGAAAACAATATAAAAGATGAGAATTGGTTTATAATTAAATTTTAGCAGATTTGTTACATTTTTTAAGGAGTAATTCAAAAAAGAATTAAATTATGATTAATTTTTATATGCCTATCAATTTGTAATGACAAGATGTTTTGGTGGAGATAATCATTTTCAATCTCCTTGTTTAGTTCCTTTTGGGGATATGTTAAATCATCATGATAAATGTTAAACTAAATAAAAAATAATTGGAACTGATCTTGTGTTTATTACAACAAAAATAGTCTAAGAAAATGAAGAAATTTACAATTTTTTTGGTGAACATGGTAATAGTTTCTTATTATGTTGGTATGGATTCACTTATGACAATAATATTTATGATAAATTATATCTATTATATGAAGATGATTAGATAAAAGAAGTGAGTTGTTATGAATTTCCTAAATGTAATTTCAAATTAAAGTATTATAAAGTTTGTTAAAGTATGATAAATAAATCTAAATTTTAGAATTGTTAAATCTATTAGGAGTATAGAGATTTAAATAATTGATGTTAGAAATATAATAAATTACAGAAAAATAATTAAAATTCTAGCCAGATTTATTGAGATGTTAAATATAAGTGATATAAAATTAAATAATCAATTTTTGAGTCTTTATATCATATGTCTTCTAACAGAATAAAATGAAGGAGGAATAGAAGGTCTTTTAGTATGATAAGAATCTGAAAATTTAGTAGGCTAATGTTAGATTTTCATCTTACATTTCAACTTCATGGCTTCAAAATTCATTTAAGTATTATTCATATTTGAATTTCTTACATTAGTATTGATTTAATGAGGAGGTGATTTAGTTTAATTTCTTTTGATATTTCTACATTTTTTTTATTTATTTACTGTTAGATTACTATGCAATCTAGTATGACGTTTACAACCAGAATAATGACTAGAATTGAGTCCTTGGATAGGTGTAAATTTTTCTTCATCTAACATTTCGAATTAAGATGTAGATGGTCTAGGTAATATAGAGCGAATGTTCTATTGTATAGATTGATTTAAATTAAAGGAACATTCTAAAAAATCAATTGTGGCAAATTATTGATTCATGTAGTTGGTGATATATTTTGAAAGTTCATTTTATTTTTTGGATTAAGTACGAGATGCAATCTTTTTTAAAATACTCTATTGATTAACTGGATGATAGACTTTATTTTGATTAAGTTCTATAGAATGCATTATAGTTTATTATGGTGAATATTTTTAATGACTAGGACTATATTTTGATTCTAATTTAGATTTTTAACTTGAATACAATATGGATATTAAAGGTTTTGATGTGTAAGATTTAGGTTTCATAATTTCTTCAGATTTATTTTCAATTATTTCTTCTAATTGCTCATCATCATCTAATGAATCTGAGTTTCCTTCAGAAAAAGATTGATTCATTTTATCTTCATCATTTTTTAATTCTTCTATCAACTTTTAAAATTTTGTATTTTGAAATGGTATTTAATTAGGATCAATAATACTTTTCTTTTTAAGAAGTTATTAATTTTTATTAAATCTATTTAATCTTTTATTATCATCATTTTTCATATTGTAAATTTAATCCATTTCATTTTGAATGTCAATCATATCAATTAAAGTTTCTCCAATAATCCAACCCATATCTAACCAATTTTTAGTAGTAAAATCAATTGTTTATGTTTAATTGTAGTAATTACCATTTGATGTTTCAATTGTAAAACAATTAACTATATCATATAAATCAGCAAAAACTCCACGAGCAGTTGACTTTTTAGATTAACTTATTCTAAATATTGATGAATAAAATCTAAACATTTCTGTTTTCTAACTAAGTAATTTTGGAAGTATACGACACTTATAATAATTATAATCCCATAAAGCATATTCTGGACCATATATAAAGACATTCTTTTTGACTAATTTATATATTATTCATACTAGAATGTCCATGTAAATCAATAAAGGCAATTAAATTATTTTAAAATTTTTTGTATTACTTTTTAACCAATGACTTCATTGCTTAAACAGTAGGATATAGAATTCCATCATTTTATTTAAATTTCCTATTTAAATCCTTTCCTTCAAATCCAGTCCTATAATTACCTAAAATAACTCCATCAGGATTCATCATAGGTATTACTTTAATAATACATCTTTATAATAAATAATATATTAATATACTTCTCAAAAAGTTTAATGGCTTATTAGCTTGATAAATAATTCATTAAACCCTGCATTACCCATGAACTATTTGATTCACCAGGATGTATGCGAGCTTAAATAATCAAGCATTTTTTATTGGTACTTTTACCTTTGCTAAAAATTAACATTGGTAATTATACTCCTCCTAATGACTCACACAATATTTTGCGTTTGACATGACTACATCTCTTTTATAATTCATCACAATATTCTAACAATTAAGAAAACGTATACGGGACACAATATGCAATCTTTATAAGTTCATTCTCTTAATTACAATCAATTATAAAACTTAAACAATTGTTATTTTACGATGTTTTATATTATATATTCTCTCCACCTTATAACCATTCTTAAGTAGTTGATCTCCAAATAAAAGGTTTCATACCTCTTTCATAAAGACTGTGTAATTTTGTGAAATTACAAATATTTAATTATATTTTTTCTCCTTACTTCATACCACTTAATTCAAAATTATACCAAGAGGTATGTCCTTAAGTATTACCATCAACTCTCATATATAAATCATATTCATATTCTGATACTTATATTACCACATCTAAGTTGCCACTCTCAAAAATGGAATTGAATTTAATTCTACTAATAGAAATAGGATTCATTCCCAAAAATGGCAATTATGGTTTGTTTATGATTGTTACAGATCGTTTAAATGGATAAGATGAAATATTTGAGTATTGTTTATGCATTTAATTGTTATCTTAAGGTCTAAATCCTACATAAATTAGTTTATTATTCTAGGAAGCTTCTAAAATTATTTAATCGTTTAACTAATTATTGAAGTTAAGTGTTAGTAATTTACTATAATCTTATTTGGGTGTCCAACCAAGTAACATGTCATTTTCAAGACTAATTGTATCATCAGTAATGGCCAATGCTTAAGGGATTTGATTACGAAATGATTACATGTTCAAATCTCCATCTTAATTTAACATCAAATATATATATATATATTATATATATTAAAATATGGGGAACTGCTAAAACTGTTTGTAATAAGAATAAGAGTAAGTAGAAATTTAAATCAACAACCATACTGAGGAGGAAGTGTAAGCACCTTGTGAATAACCACCATTATTAAATCTAGATGTTAAAACTTGGTAGAAGGATTCTTACAGTCTTTATGATTATGAAAATACTACATTTATACACTCTCAACAAATCCCTATTAATGGCACTAGCTATCTTACTTGCAAAGCTAATAAAGTTTTATATAATGAAGGGAGCTACTCTAAAAATAAGTAATTATATTTGTTATATTTAGTGATAACAATGATGAAATACTACTTCTTCCACTTGAATATGGAAATGAAACCTTCCAATTATTAAATTTACGCTTTAATAAAAGGCTTTAAACTTAAGAACTTATTGAAGACTACCAAAAAGAAGTATTGATTCTCGATCGATATATAATTAGGAAGGGGATAAACTTTTATCTGAAAACCAAACCATACATGCTGATTTTCAAATGAGTTTCAATATTCAGAAATTAAGAACTACCACAAATAGATAATTAATTTGTGATATGACTAAGGGTTCCAAAATCTGGTTGGTTACTAGATCTATTTAAACTAACAGCATTAATGAAGGTTTAGTACTGAAGGTTGGAGATGTGATTAAATTAGGAAGAGTTAAATTAATTATTAAGGAAATTCAATTACAACATGAAACTAATTAAGATTTATTGAATGAAGAATCTCTTTGTTCACTTGAAGATAAAAATGAATTTACAAAATAATGTCGAATCTGTTTATCAACTGGAGAATCTCCATTAAATCCATTAATTGATCCATGTAAATGTATTGGTAGTACTAAATATGTACATATCAAATGTTTACTTAGATGGTAAGGAATCTTATTCTATTTCATATAGGATTTAATAAAGTTCTCATTTTAATAGTAATGCTTACTGTACTAGATTTATCTGGAAATCTTTGGAATGTGAAATATGTAAATCTGTCTACCCTCCAATTTTTGATAGGAATGGAAAATCATTTAATTTAATTGAATTAAGCAAACCTAAGGATAAACCTTTTATTATGATGGAATTTTAACAAAAGAGATAACATGATAATCCTCAATCAAATGATAGTAATGGATTATATATTGTGAATTTTGGTACGAAGAAGGAACTCAAAATAGGAAGAAATCATGAGGTTGAAATAAGTATTGCTGATATTAGTGTAAGCAGAGAACATGCTCATATTAAATTAGTTGATAATAAAATAATTTTATCAGATAAGAGATCCAAATTTGGAACATTAGTACTCTTATAAAAAAATATTAACCTTACTCCATAATTATCAGGATTAGAATTATAAATTAAACGTACTTTGATTAAATTGAATAATAATTAATTGTCTTAAACAAATCAAAAACAAAGAGACTTTGAATTATACTTAGGAAGAAATGAATGATACATCTATTATTATTAATATTGTATTAAGATATGTATATTCATTTAATCTTATTAATTATCAAATTATTCATCTAACATATAATCAAATACGTATTTAATTTAAATTAGATATACAATCGGTTTTTGCTTTCAACTTCTATTTAAAAAGACAATATAATAATAATTTAAAACATAATTATATTAATTTATATATTATTTAAAAAAAACATAAAATCTTTTTTTTTTTTAATTTGAAATCCTTTTTCAAAATCTTTATACAAAACATCTATTTATATATTTCTTACTTTAATTATATGTATACTAAAATAATAATCAAATCTTTGTATATACAAAAAATAAAATAATTGCAGGAAATATTAAATAAATTATTAATAACTAATAATAATTAATTAATAATATCTTTAAAAATTTTAAATAAAAAGGTGATTAAAATTTCTTTTCAAATATATTTTTTATTTGATTTCATCAATTTTATTTATTCTTAAAGAACAGATGTCACTAATTCGAATTAAATCTGTTTTTGATATTCGAGTTCTTCTTAGAGAACTTTAAGTTAAGAGTTAATATCTTTTTTATTTTAGGATTCATGTTATATAGGAAGATTTTCTATTGATTTTATTTTATCACTGAGGATTTTAAATTCCTGTTCTCGCTTCTATATTTTTTCCTATTTGATTTGAAATTTTATAGATGCAATTTCTCGAAGCAATTCAATTTACTTCTCATAATCTTCTATAAATAAAAAGAATGTACCTTTATCCTAATTCTTTATGTACCCAAATTTACGAAATTTTTTGAGCACTAGTTTCGCTGTAGCAAAGTTGATTTTACTTTTTTAAGCTGCCTTTTTGATAGTTGAGTTGAGGCAGAGTACTAATTAAAGAAATTAAATTTCTCTTTTAAACTTATCATTAAGCATTTTCTGTTGTATCTCCTTTTGAAGATTATTTTTTTCTTGCTTTAACATATATTAAAAAAAAAGAAACAATAATTTTTTTTTAAATTTGTAAGTTAACTAATACAAAGACTATAGTGAATACTAATAAATTGCCTATTTGTCAAACATAAACCCAAAAAATTTGGTACGAAGATAGATAATTCTATAAAATTCACAAAAGCTTTTTAATAACTCTCTAGGTTTTTTTAAAAGGTAATATATCATTTCATCTTTAGTTTTGAATGATTTTAAATACGATAAAATTTTCAATATAAATCAAAATTTTTTTTAATATATATTACAATTACTGGTTCAATAACAATTAACACTAAATTCTAATAGAAAAGTAAAAAATATGAAACATATTCTAAACTTTTGTCACTGATATGAACTTAATATTGATTCTGATATGTATTATATATCACTTAAATACCAATGTTATTCTAAATTGTTTTTTAATCAAAAATTATCTAAATTCCTGTTTCCATCTATTTCTCCCTCTTAAATGACCAGATATTAAATTATCTAATTAATTAATACTACATTTATGATTACTTTCAAGTAATTTGTGAACTTTTTTTTTAAAGTAAAACTTAGTATTATACCTCTAGAAAAATATAGGTATTTAATAATTATTATTGTATTATTAAAAATTCATTTGATATTCACTTTTTGGCAGATTGTCTTATTTTTTTCAAATCAAGCTTTTAATTTTCATTGAATTATAATTTAATATAAAAATATAAATATTATCATTAACATTTAATTAAAATGTATTATAGTTTTTTCATTAGAAAATTTATTCACCAAATAAAAGTAAAAATAAATTCAAACATATCAAGATAACCTAATATATATAATGTTACTTTTAAATAATAGTTATTAAGGATATTAATATAATGTCATTTGAAGTTATTAAATAAATATTAAGCCTTAGTAAACTCTTGTACTTTTCAAGACTTTATTAATTCAATTTTCAGAATAGATTTTTAAATAATAGATTATTTTCTCAAAATTGATTCAAGTGTTTTGAAGAAAGGAAATCTTTAATTAAACATTATAATCAATTAATTTAATAATTTGAGATGATTCTTAAGAGTCAAGATCCTAAAAATTAAAAGCATTGTTGAAATTCCAAAAATACTTTGAAATATGAATGTATGGATATTTAGTATTATTAATCAAGCTTTATTTTAATAAATATGGCAATTATTAAAATAATTTTGTAAGAAATATATTTTATATATGAATTAATTTTATATAAATTTTAATAGAATTTGTATTAATTAGAGTGTTATTAAATTTAATTATGATACAATATATGATTTAAAAGAATGATTGTTGATATATTAAAAAAGCATTCAAAAATAATAGTATTTTTCATAATTACTCTTTAATTTTTGTTTGAATTTGTATTATCTATCAAAAATAGGTTTAGTTTTTTCATCAAAGTTTAAAACATAATTTTCTTCTTTTATTACATTTTATGGTAATATACTTTATTTTAAAAATTCCCTTAATTAATTTACATTATAATAATTACCATTTTCTTTCTTCAAAATCTGGAGCTAAAGATTTTCCTGATATTCTAAGTGAATTTTCATTCATATGAAATAATCGATTCAAGAAATATTTATTTTTTTCAGATCCTCCTTAAATATATAATCCAGAATATTATTAAAATTTATCAAATATAATTCCTTAAGTATTTTATGATTAATTTATTGGAATAATTACTTTAGTTTATTATTATTTAAGTTTAATTTCATCCTCAGATTCATCATCCTCTTCACTTATTGAATCTTCAAATGAATATCCTAAATTTATATAATATAATTTACTATGTATATCTTTATCAGTAGATAATTGATTATCTTAATTATTTACATATCTATGTTTTTCATTAAAGAGTTGATTTTATTCACCTAATAATCTTCTGGCTCTTACTTTTCTTAATTCATCTTCATGATTTTCTTGTTATTTAGTATTGATCATAGTTTACTTTCTATGAACATCAGGGGATTCATTTTCTTCTATATTTTTAGTATTTTTAATTCTTTATTTTTTCCTTTTATAATTATCTCCAATTAAAATATCTTCATCTTTAATAATAGAGATTTAATTATCTGCTTTTGATATAAATTCTACTAAATCATCATTTAATTTGATAGAATCATCAATTTATATTCTTTTTTGTAATTTATTATTTTTAAATTCTTAATAATGTTCTTTTTCAAGATGAATAAGATCACTAGCTAAAAATCCAATAACTGAATTCTATAAATTATTATTTGAATATTGATTAAATGTATATTATTCACTTGTTAAATTAGATTAGACATTATTATTATATTTTATATTAGATACATCTTCAGAATAAATCTTAGATCTATTATCATTAGATGAAATTGTTGAATCTGAAACAATACTATAATTTTATACAAAAACTGAAGATTTACCATCATGATTCCTTCTTTTATTTTTATTATCTAAATTATTAAGAAATTATGTTTTCTTTGATTTTTCTAATAATGATTTATCTTAAGTATCCACTTTATATAAATTTTCTTATTTATTTTAACTCATTAATTATTTTAAGATTTCAGAATCTTCAAATTCAAATTGATCTCCACCTTATTTATCATCATTTAAATAAGCATCAATGTATTTTTCAGCCAATTCATTTTCTATTAGAATCTTTTTGACCCATTAATTTTCTAATTAACCAAATTATTAATCAAGATCTTTTAATAATTGCATTGTTGGTTTATCATACATATGATAGATGAAATAGTAAATCTTACCTATTAATGTAGGATTTTGACTAACTAATGGTTTTAAGACTTTAAGCATTTGTCTTTAAAGTTTGGCCAATTCATCAAAGGATACATATAAAGAATCTTGATATCTTTCAGCAAGTGTTTTAATAGTGAATTTGTTTGACAATCTAATTTATTCTGTATTAAGGGATTTTGCTTAAATCACATTTTAGTTTAAACTAATTAAGAATTTGTAAAGTCTAATGAAACTAGCATACAATCTATATTCAAGAAAGTTAGGAATGAAATTTAAATTCCAAAACATAATTGAATAGACTTTTNAGTATTGATCATAGTTTACTTTCTATGAACATCAGGGGATTCATTTTCTTCTATATTTTTAGTATTTTTAATTCTTTATTTTTTCCTTTTATAATTATCTCCAATTAAAATATCTTCATCTTTAATAATAGAGATTTAATTATCTGCTTTTGATATAAATTCTACTAAATCATCATTTAATTTGATAGAATCATCAATTTATATTCTTTTTTGTAATTTATTATTTTTAAATTCTTAATAATGTTCTTTTTCAAGATGAATAAGATCACTAGCTAAAAATCCAATAACTGAATTCTATAAATTATTATTTGAATATTGATTAAATGTATATTATTCACTTGTTAAATTAGATTAGACATTATTATTATATTTTATATTAGATACATCTTCAGAATAAATCTTAGATCTATTATCATTAGATGAAATTGTTGAATCTGAAACAATACTATAATTTTATACAAAAACTGAAGATTTACCATCATGATTCCTTCTTTTATTTTTATTATCTAAATTATTAAGAAATTATGTTTTCTTTGATTTTTCTAATAATGATTTATCTTAAGTATCCACTTTATATAAATTTTCTTATTTATTTTAACTCATTAATTATTTTAAGATTTCAGAATCTTCAAATTCAAATTGATCTCCACCTTATTTATCATCATTTAAATAAGCATCAATGTATTTTTCAGCCAATTCATTTTCTATTAGAATCTTTTTGACCCATTAATTTTCTAATTAACCAAATTATTAATCAAGATCTTTTAATAATTGCATTGTTGGTTTATCATACATATGATAGATGAAATAGTAAATCTTACCTATTAATGTAGGATTTTGACTAACTAATGGTTTTAAGACTTTAAGCATTTGTCTTTAAAGTTTGGCCAATTCATCAAAGGATACATATAAAGAATCTTGATATCTTTCAGCAAGTGTTTTAATAGTGAATTTGTTTGACAATCTAATTTATTCTGTATTAAGGGATTTTGCTTAAATCACATTTTAGTTTAAACTAATTAAGAATTTGTAAAGTCTAATGAAACTAGCATACAATCTATATTCAAGAAAGTTAGGAATGAAATTTAAATTCCAAAACATAATTGAATAGACTTTTTCACAATCTATATATGCAATTACACTTCTCACCCATCTTAAAAAAGGCTCTTTTGAATTATCAAGTAAGTTTAAAATGAATGTTGAAATAATCAAATGATTTTTTTGTATAGTTTATTACAATACCTTATGTACATTATCTAATGATAATTAAGGTTCATTTGGAAGAAGACTGAAATCAGGATTAACAATCTATATAATTTTAATTCATGATACCAACTGATTTAGGAAATCATAATATGGAACTTTCAAGAAATCTTTTTCAAAAGACTCTTAATCATATTTTGAAAACCAATGGTCATAACTATTATCCATCATTAATTAAATTGCATATATATAAAATTTAACTTCTAAAGTCATTTAAAAGACTAACATTTCCAATAGACAAATTCTAAAATGTACACAAATATCATTTACATACATTCATAAATATTATATAATTTATATATTATATATGAAAATGAAAAAAGCAACTGATGGTGCTTAATGTATAACTTGAATCTGTATCAATAGATGAGAATGAATATCTTGCCTTATAGGAAGATAAGTTGTTAAATAAAATGAAGAAAAAACAAGTATGATATCATTTATAATGGAGGAACGAGAATTAGAATAATTAAAATTATATGAACAATAAAAAGCAGAATAAGAGAAACATAAATTCTCTATTCTTGAATAGACTAAATCTAAATAATAGTAAGTTGAAGAGACTTTGAAAGAAAAGAAATTATTGGTAAAATATAATATATATGTATATATTATAGATTGAATTAAAGAAGAAAGAAAAAGAAAAGGAGAAATTAATTCAAATTTAGAAGATAGAATAAGGTCATTTGAAAGAATTAAAATAAATTGATTTATCAAATGATAAAGTATTGGAGTAACTTAATGACCATTAAAATAATAAAGAAACTATTTTAACTAATAGAAATAAAAAATCAACTGTTAAAAAGTATTAGATTTATTGTAAATCTAAGAATAGCAGAAGGAATAGTAAAAACATAATAGGAAGAGATTTTAATCAAAAAATTACAATTAGATAAGAATTAAAAAGAATAAGAGGAATTATGGAAGGAATTAAATGATAAAAAAGAAATGATATTGAATGAATTGAAATTAGCTAAGAAGAAATAAATTAAGAAAATCAAATAAAAAAATGAAGAAGAGAAAAATGCTTATTATTAAGATAAATTATAAAAGATAGAATAATATAAAAAGAAATTAGATGAAATAGAAGTTAATTAATAAACTAAATAGGAAATGTTAGAACATAAGAAAAAGGAAAAATTAGAAAAATTGAAAAAAGTTATGGTATGGATATTTCAATTTATTTTAAATTAGTAAAACTATAAAAAAATTATGGCTGAAAAAAATGACAAGGCATAAATGAAAGTATAATAAGTAGAAGAGAAAATAAATTCAATATAAGAGAAATTAAAATAAGCAGAGGATAAGATAGAAGTATTTGAAATGGATAAAAATAATCATAGAAAAAATGTAATATTAAATACTTAATTATAGATAAAATCAAAGAATGGTAATATTTTAAATAATAAAAATGAAACATTTTAAGAAAAGTTAAGATTAAAAGATGAAGAACATTTAAAATCAATTACTGAAACATAATCCTTAACTAGATTAAAATTAGAATAAGAAAAATAGAAAAAAGAAGAAAAAATTAAAGAACATAAATAAAAAGCAGCAGAAATGCTTAAAGAGATTGTAGAAACAAAAAATAAAAAATTATAAGAGAAATTAGAAAAGGCATAATAATTTAAAGATGATAAAGAGAAATTATTTTAATAACAATAAATGTTAGCTAAAGATATTGAACGATAAAAAAAATAAATATTACTGAAGAGTCCTAAAAACAAAAATTTAGATTAATGATTGATAATATTAGTTATAATATTAAATTTTATAATATATATAAAATTAATGTAATAATAATAATAATAGCAATAATAACCAAGAGCAAGAACAAAGGAAAGATATGTTTGTGAAGCTATGAATTTAGTTAAATTATGGAGGTTTAAGATTTACTTACTCTAATTAGATAAATTTATGAAACTGAAACTAAAGTTATCGATGGAAGAACAGTAAGGATAACATTAGATTAAGCAGCTGAATTAGTTGGATGTCCAAGAAAAACACTTGAAGATTATTATTATTTATTGAAAAAGGCTTAAAATTTAAGTATTCTTTATACAATTCAATTTTTAGTTAATTTGGAGGATAAAAAAAATGAAAAAATGGGTTTTATAAGAAAAATATGTAGAGAAAATAAAAAGCATCAATAATTATTAAAGTAAGAAGTAGAATTTAATAATATAAATTAATTTTAATTGGATGAGATTCATGATGATTGATATAAAAATTAAACACTTTGAAAATTATTATTATGAGCATATAACAATAATAATCAAAAAACTTATTTATATATAAATAATATCAATGAAAAATTAATTAAGTAATAATTTTACTTTAATAAGTACAAAATATAATTTAGTTTTAAATATCAGGCAATAATCAACTATTAATATAAATACTTGTTTTTTTTAGAAATATTTATTTTATTTAATAAATAATTATTCTTTAGAGATTAATAATATTTATAACTGTCCAATATTTTACAATATTATTATATAGATTGTTAACTTCATTACAAGATAAATATATAAAATAATTAAATAATGGCCTATTTTTAATTTTCATTTCATACTTAATTATTAAAAAGATTACTTATAAATTTAATTATCCTTAAATAGTAGATCAATAAAACTATATATCTTCAAATTTTGTCTTTGTTTAAATAAAATTTATTAAAAAAATAGATTTACTATTAAAAAGGAATATCTTAAGAAACTATAAATATTATATCAAAATTAAAAAAGAAGTTCTAATTATTCAATAAAATATTACATTTATTCCTGAAAGATTATTTTTATTTATATGAATTGTTATTTAATACAATTATTAAAATAGTTTCTTTAAAACTTTGAAATCATTTTACAATAAAGACAAAATATCTAGAATTATATAATTACTATTATTATTTATTTATTAATTCAAAGCTTCATGAATTGTTAATAAAGACTATTATTTAAAAAAATATATTTATATCTATAAAATCTTACAAATAGAATTATTTAAATTGGATAAATGATTATAATAGAATAGGTTTTTGTGATTTCTAATGCTTATTGTTTCTAATATTAATTTTCATAATTCGTTATTGAATTGTATAATTACCTATATTAATTGAGCTTATGTTAATATATAAATTAATGAATCTGATTTATTTATTATTATTTGTTGCTTTACTAAAAACTCCTTGTGTTTAGAAATGCAGCTAAAAAATAGATTCCCTAACAGTTTATGCTACAAAAGATGAATAATTGAATTGGAATTTGATAGATGAATTGTTTAATGGAGTAGGATTAACATTCTCTTTAAGTGATACTCAATAGAACTAATTTAAGATAGTTGATCCAGTTGAGAATACAGGTGGTTCAGCTTTATATTCTTAGGGTATTTATAAATTAATAAATATTATTAGCTGCTGAAAAGATTATATCATCAAAAGCATTAAAATCTAATAAATATTGGGTGAATTAATTTGTGTTTTTAAATAAGGGAACGACATCAATAACATTGGGAATAGCAATAGGGTATAAGAAATAATTAATAAAATAGAGAAGCAGGTTAAAATGTAATAGCTCCAAAATTTGATAAGTTTATAACTTTAAATTAGATTGAAGATAATTTAGATTGTTATGATATAGAATATATATTTGATAAAACATTTATAGTAGATTGTTCAAAAATAGTTGGGAATACAATAAAAAATGTATTATATTATGTGAATGATGGAGATTCATATGAATATTTGATAGAAGAAGCATTAGTATAAGCAAAACATGGTCGTTTATTAGGCTAATACAAAGTTAAGGGATAAGGTGGAAAGGAATATAGATATTTAGTGAGGGCAACTCCATCATATTCAGTGTCACAAGATGGATCTATAAGTGGAGATTCTTTATTGGAAGTGTTTTTATTGAATAATAAGGGTTAACCATCTAATACAGGATATATTTTAGATGGATTAACTATGTCTTTGTTGTTAAATAAATAATATGATTTTGAATTTAATATAGTTGATATGAAGGTGTTGGAGAATGGAGATATATATTTATTGGATGCATAATATGGTATATATGTAGTAAATTACATTCCCAATGGAGCATTCTAATTAAAGAAGTTTATTGATACTGGAATGGGATTTGCTTATGCATTTGATAGAAACATCTTTTTGAGAAGGGATGGAACATATAGTGAAAATATTGCTGTATTAGGATATGGTTTTGTTGAATTAATTGTAAATGGTGAATTGAAATCAGAATATAAATTGCCTAATGGTATTCATTATACATTCCCAGCAAATATTGATTTATCATAAGAATTCATAGTTGTTAGACATGATGATGCAACTTATCTTTTTGATATAGATGCTAAATCAAAGGATTTATTACAATTACAAGTGATACCATAAACTAATTATGTTATGATTAATCCATTCTTACCTGATATGATAGTATTGACTTTGGATAAAGCTTATAGATATACATTATCTTAAGGATATTTATAATATAATGGTTCTGATGATGTCTAAGAAAAGAAGATGATTGAAATAATTGCAACAAGTATTGATTAAATTTGTAAAATTCAACTTACATATTAAATAATTGAAAGTGATGATAAATAACTATATAAATATAGTGATACTCTCACTCCATTTCCAAATTAAATAACAGAAGATACCGAACCATTCTAATTAAATGTACTAACAAGTGGTCCAAATGAATAATACAAATAAATTGTAGAATTCAAAGATGATGCTACTGCTGTTAAAGTTTCCTTGAAAACTTATTGGGAATTGAAATTCCCTTAAGAATTATAAAAAGATCTATTATTCCATGATGTTTTAGTTGGTATACAACCATCATATTTCTTTTTGGCTTAATAAAATAAAGATGGGAAATTAACTATTCTTAAAGCTACTCATAATTCTATTTTCAATGGTGATGCTACTTATGAGAAAATCTTTGATAATATAAGTATTGGTATTAAATTAACTAAATCAACATTTTAAATGTGGGAATGTGAATATCCCAAATTTCATTTTGCTTATGTAGAAAATAAATCAGTTAATCTTAAAGTATACTCTGATAATTAAGTCAAAGATATTAAAACAATCCCATTTGAAAATGGTATTAGCATATTATTCTTAAAGAATTATCTGTTTCTACTTTAGAATGAAAATGTTCATGCTTATACAGAACATGGTGAATTTGTTAAGTCTATTGATTTAGATTTATTAGTAGAATAAGGTTATAAAGGAAGATGGACACCTAAGAAGATATTTGGTAATAGAAAATTAAGAGAGAATCTTATATTTGTTGTTCATTAAGATCATATAACTATATTAGATTTCCATACATCATATACTTTCATTAAATAAATTGATATAGATGAATCTGATAATATAGAAATAGCTATTGGTGCTGAAACATTCTTCATAATAACTAATGAGATTATAGAATATAATTTTGATAGATTGAACAATATTTATAAGACTAAAGTAGTTTAATTATATGATTTTGAATTAGTATAACCTATTTTAGGTGATTTCTGTTCAGACACAGGTTATCTCTTTATTAATGCTAAAACAAAAACGTAATTAATTAATGAAGATAATAATAAGTATCATATCTTGGTTATTCAACCTAATACACTTTAACATGAAGCATTATTCTAAGCTTTACCTATTGAAGATCCATAATTAATATCAACATAAGGTACTTCATCTCAAATGTATGTCTATCTTCAAACTAAGACTTCTACATATGTTTATTCTATGTTGACTAATCCTATATTAATTATTGAACCTTCTATCAATGATCCATAATTTTCTGCTTCAGTAAATGTTTCTCTTATGATCTATAACTTTGAAGATACACCTTCCATCAGTATCAAATAACCTATAACAGTTATCAATACATAAACAAAAATATATATTGATAACACTAAATTCAAAGCTAATTCAATTGAAATAGATTCTAAGGATTATGTTAAAAAAGAAAAGAAATTAGGAAATGATTGGTATAGTGGTTAGATCTCTGAATTTTAAATCATCTGTGAATAATGTAATAAAGGAAAGAATGGAATTTCAATAACATAAACAGTTGAATAATCAAATTTTTCAATTTTCAAACCATATAAAATAAGATCAATCAATAATAACCTAGCATAAGCTATTGATGCATTAATTTTCTTTAATGATGATGATACTTTACAAGAAATTGTTCCATTAGATGTTATTTCTAAAAATTATTAATGTTTTTAATCAACCTAATTAGAATATTATATCCTAAGTTTATGTCATGATGGAAATCAATACACTATTTATGCAACCAGTGGTATTAGTTAGACAGGATGGTTTCCTTTAGGTGAAGTACTTAAATTAAATAAACATACCAAAAAAATTGAATTACTTTAAAATGATTATCTAATTATTTTGGATAATGAATCATTTATTATTTCTAAAATTAATATGGAGGATCAAGAAAATTGGATTTTAGATGAAGAATACATAATCAATTTAAATCACATTCAAACTAAATATGAAGACCTATTAACATTCACTCCTAATGATTTCCTTATAACACCAGTTAATAAAGTTGATGGTATTCAATATTACAAAGTACTTATTACAAGTGGAGAAGGTATCTTCTTTTTAGATTATTATTTTAAAAATTAATAATAATTAATGACAATTAATTTAGAATATGTTAATTTAACAAAAGAATTATAAAAAATATAACAATATGCCATAAGTTCTACTTAATATTTGTTAATCAAAGAATTAAAATCATTTGAATTAAATACATTAAATGTTTTCATTTAAACAAGCAATGTAGTTCATTATGGTTTGAAGATTAAATTGGCTATAAAGGAAGGATAATCGTATTTAATTTATTAAAGTTTAGAAAGTCAATTCTTATTGAATAGGTATGGTAATTGGAATACTGTTGGAAATGTAGCTGTGTCTAAGAGTCATGCTGCTATTCCTTATTAAAATTAAGATAAGATTGTAATAGCAATTTATCCAATCAATGAATCAAATAAACCAACTACAGCAATTGGTAGTTTCAGTTTTACAGAAGATGCTTCAACATTTAACCCATTAAATTTTGGATTATTCTTTAGAAATGAAAAACTCTATTCTAATTCACCATCTAGTGATACATAATAATATTAAATAAATTCAGAACCTTAATTAACATTCATTTAAACAACTGATAATCCACTAAAATCAGAAAAAATAGTCATCAAAGTTAGAAATGATTTCAGTTATTCTTAGATTGATTTTGAATTGAATATTATTGTGAATCCAGATCCTCCTAATCCTGACCCTCCTAATCCTTAACCTGAAGAAAGGTATAATTTTTATATATATTTATAATAGTTCAAAATTATGGTGGATTATTTTGATAATAGTGGGTGGATTATTATTATTAGGAGGAATTGGATTTGTTACTTATCGTATGAAAAATAAGGCAGTTGAAGTTGATTATAATATCATAGCTTGATAATATTGTATTAATATTAAGAATATAAAATGTTAAATGATTAATAAAATAATCATGTCTTTTAAATATTATGAAGCATTTGTTTCATCAAAAAATAAATCCATTCCTTGTTGCAATAGTTTAAATTGCAATCTTTGTCTTGGAAAATACTACATTTAAGTATAAAGTGAGGATATTAATTTGATGGATATACTTATATAAGATAAATTGTAAAGTAGAATGAAAGAAATATAAACTAAACTTAAAATCAATACAATTGATTAATTTTTAGATTATCATTAACGCAAGTATAATTATTAACTCATTTATTTATTTGAAAATCATACTAAAGGTAAACCTGAACAATAAATTAATATCAATTTAAAGTATAAAAATAATGGAACCATTGATTGGTCTAATGAAACCTATTTTAAATGTATTCATCCTGAAGAATTTAAAGGAATCATATCTTAAGTTACACCATTACAATCTGGAGCTGAAGAAACCACAGAAATTTCATTCAAAATACCTTTAATTAAAGAAGGAGAATATTTAACTAAATGGAGATTATGTTGTAAAAGAAATTAAGAAGAAATTTAATTTGGTCCAACTATTGAAATTCCATGCACAATTGAAGAGTCTATAGAAATTTATAACTATCTTATACTATAAGAATTAAAAAATTTGGAATAATCTGTGATTGAATCTTTAGACTTTAGTAAAGCTCCTAAAATACTTGAAGATAAAAAAGATTAAAAATTAGATTTAGATTCCCTATTTCTTCTATTATTAAAGCAAAATTGAGATGATGAATTAAGTTATTTTCTATATTACGAAAATACAATATATATATATATATCACTGTTATACACACTCTAAATCACCTTCCTTAGGTTTCTTTTTATTTAATTTATCAAATTCCTATCTAATCTAATACTCTCTCTCTAATATTTAATCTGGTTTTGGATACTAATTAATATATTTAATATTTATTTATTTACAGACACTATTAAAGTATTATTCTTATAAACATGAGTAACCTTTCCCTATTCAAGTTTTAGATTTGCTCTCCTCATATCAGGAATAGCAAATCTTTTATAATATTTTTTATTTGATGTTCTAATAACAATCTCTTAAGTATTTTCATCCACTTCCAATTTATAAACATCTTCTGGATAACTTAGATTACGAACTCTATATTGAAAATGTTATGGAGTATCCTTTCTTACAAATATAGGCTTCTATATTATAAAATTGTTACATTAGTATTGGATAATTTCAATTCACTTTATTGATCAATTGGTGCTTCTCCAACTTCATAAATCCATTAAGATTCTTTAATATTGGATACCTTTTTCCATTTTCTAGCTGTTATTTACTTATTATTCAAAATATACTAATTAATTCATGATTATTGATATCATATTCCTCAACAAGTTCACTTTTATCTTCGAATGTATAATTTACTCTTCTCCTACCACCTGCTATAACTGCAGTAATATGTGGTTTTCCAACAAATTAGAGATATTGATTATTTTGGGATTACATCTCTATTTAAAATATTATAATTAAAATAGTTAATTGTTCTTGATTGTGAATAATTTTTAACTTAAGTATACTCTGTATAAAATAACAGTCAATATAAACTATGTATCAAATATCAAGTTATTTTATCTTATTTCTAATTTCAATGTAATGTCCATAAGTCAAACGTACAGGTTTACCATCAGCAATTTATTCAATTTTAGAATCTACAGCAAATCCATAATGATCTTCGAAACATTCTTGAATGAGTGATGCTAATTAAAAGTATGTTATCAAATAATCCAATAATATTACATCACCTTCGATATCTGTTGGTAATAATTATTGAGTATTTTGAAATGTGATCTTCTATTCGAGTTAATATTCAATCTCTTTTATTGCACTTCTGAGAATTGAATTGAGAATTATATAAAAAGATTCATATTCAGTAAAATTATCATCAAAAACAGCATCAAACTTTTTATCAACAATTAATTATTATTTTTATTCTGGATTCTATAAAGATAACCAAACAGTATTAAATTATAAAGTATATTTTTGAATATATTAATTAATAGTAGCACTTAATTTATTAAATTAAGGATTCTAGATATATTATTCAAATTTATTTAAATTAAGAGAGTTATGATTATTTATGATTTCTTTTAGATTATTTATTTTGATCATTATATTCTTATTAACTAAAAATAGTAATTTCTCTCTTAAATATGAAGTTGTAACAAATTGATATTTGTCTATTAATGATGCTACTCTATATAAATATCTGCAAAAGTTCATTTAAGCTACTATTATATAATCATTCTTTTTATTATCATTCCATTCCTCTTCTCTCTAACTAAAATATTCTTAATTCATAGATTAATTCACTTATGATTCCTTCCTTTATTTAAGTTGTTGTTACTAATTACTAGTTTACTATTATCTAGCTATTGAATATGTATTTTCTTTTCCATAATTACTTTCTCTTTGTTACATAAATATCTATTATTTATTATGATTTTCCCCTAAAGGAGATGTAGTATTTATACAACCATTACTTTAAACAACATGAAATTAATTATGATTTGATTAACCACCATGACTACCTCTAAAAATACTAGAGAACCCATTCCCTTTAATTACTTATAATTCTTATCTTTATAACCATGTATGTCTTTCTAATTCTTCAACTGTTGCTCTTCTATTCTCATCTACTATTAAACATCTCTAAATAAAGTCTCTGCATTCATTTAAAATATGTCCTGGAAAATTAACAGGTACATTAGCCATCTTCTAAGCTAATTCTCTTTCAGTTCCAGCTTACCATGGAACTTAACCAAATAATAATTCAAATAAACTAACACCTAATGCCCATATATCAGATTTTTCAGAATATCTATTTTTAAATGCTTAAGGACTCATATACAATGGTGATCCTACATTAACATTGGGCATTGTAGTAACAGTCTAAGGAGTAGTAGCAAATCCAAAATCTGCTATTTTAGGTATTTATCCTTTTAATAGAATATTGGCTGGTTTGAGATCTCTATGTACAATTCCTAAAATAAAATACTAAATTTACCCTTTTATTTCATCTATTTATATCCCTATATTATTCCTGAAAATAATTTTTATAACTATGATTCTTTTTATGTTCCTTATTTAGTTAATAATGAACCCAAATCACCAGAGTCACAATACTCTGTTATTAGATATGTATTATTTTCTGTGTAATACACTTTATATAATCTCATTATATTATTTGAGTTTAATTATGATAATGCTTCTACTTCTGATTTTAATAATTAATAATGTAATGGTGTTTTGAGTCCTTTTTTATCTATAACTTTAATTGCAACAATTTCATTTGTTTCATCATTTCTACCTCTATACACAACAGAACTAAAACCCTTTCCTATTGCATCTGTAAGTGCATAACTGAAGTTTTCAATTACTTTTCTTGCATTACTTTGAATGGGTGTATTTGGCATTTGTCTTTATTGTTGTTAGATCAACATTATGTTGTTTATTTTTTTTAATTTTTTAATTTCAACGGTAAAAGAACAAAAACATTATCTTAATAAAATTATTATAATATTAAATTACTATAAAATATCTTAAAAATATATGAATAATATAATATTAAATCATTTCATACACTTTTATTATAAAAGGTCTTTATATTTAGATGTTCCTGGTAAACCATCATCCATAATTAATCTAAATAGATTTTTTGAACTAATCTAAATATTTGGTTCTAATCTACTATAATATGCTTAATGAATTTCTTAGCCCATTTTATGATTTAAGAAATCTTGTAATTTTTATTTCCCATTTTATAATTTATCTAAAACTCTATCAATTATCTTTTTAAATCTTATATATCTACTTCTTAAATAGGCATTTGATATTTCAACCATATCTTAAACCATTTTAGTATGTTATTTTAATCTTGCCTATGTAGTCTTTAGAGTTTATGGATTATAATTTATTTCCATTATATGAAGTTTAAGATCATCTGTTAATAGAAAATCAGCAGCAAAGAATTCTCCTAATTTGCTATCTTTTGCAAATGTATATTATGTGCTTCTAATTGCATGAATAATCATTCTATCAACTTAAGGTAACAATTCTTATTTTAACCATTTTCTATTCTTTATTTTACCCTATTTTAACAGTATTTCTTATAAATAATCAAGTTTCCAATCTATATATAGATCTTAAAAATTAGGTTAATCTTGAATAGATTTATTAATAGTATTATTTTAAATTTTATTATTATTTTAATTTTAATTATTATTTTAATTTTTACTATTATTGTAATTTTAATTATTATTTGTAAGTTCATCATCATCATGATTATCATCATTTTCATCATTATCTTCATTTTCTTGAGATTCATTTATCATCGATTATAAAGTTTTCTTAACAATTGCTGTATTACAAACATGAGCTCCTTTGAGTGTTGAAAATTTATCAAATGGATTAATACATCTTCGAATAAGTGTTTTATCATATGCATATGCAATCAATGGATTTGTTGATGCAATTATCCAATAAACTCTAAACTCTATTTTATGTCCTTTAAATAATAATGGATTCCCTATATATTATTAAGCTACTTTATATGTTTTCATTTCTCCACAAACCTATCCATTTTTAAATTTCTCCTTCAATTTTTCAGTTTCTTATGGAAATAACATTGTTATCCCTCTTCCTCTATGAACTTCTAATCCCATTTTGACAATAAATTATGGACCATCTCTATTCACTTTATCTTAATATTCTGTTGAATTCAAATAAGTAAAAAATTACTTACATTCAGATTCTTCAAAAAGTCTATAAGTTTTAGGAAGAAAAGTTGCATTAACCTTTATGATATTAAATAATATATTACTATACAATCCTCATCAAGACCTTTATTTTTTATATCATTTAAATAATTTAGTTGATTAGTCATCAATTGATTTTTGTGTGATAAAGAGGATCTTTAAGGTAAATGATTATAGTTTTGAAAGAGACATAATGAACCTATTTTTAATAATGATAATATAATATACTTTATCCTACTTTAAATGTAAATAGTAATTAATCATAATAAGTATATGGTAGTGTTAATTACAAGGGAAATTTATATTTATTAGGTACTAAAAATGAAATATTATTTACTATCTTTGTTTCTTTTGTAAAGTGTAACATTAGGTAAGACATCAAAAAAATGTTGTTAAAGTGCCTATTTTACTAAACCTGAATACTCTCTAAATGTATAGGTGTCTTTCATAATAGAATCTGGATGGTAATATTTATATGTATCAGATTGGATACAATAATCATTTTGTGGTTATACAAGAAGTGAATTAAACTACTTAGAAATAATTAGTTACTTATCTATCAAATGACTAAGGATTATAATAATTTTATGATATAAACTTATTCAAGAAACCAATAAATATTTCAACATCCTTTTAGTATTTATAGGTGACTATTTCTGTGTACAATAAACCTATAAATGTTAATGATAGGAAAGAAACTAATAAAGTAATTATATTTGCTATCATAATTAATAATAATTACACGTAAATATTTTATTTCAATTACAATTCGTGAATTTTAATTGATAATCTATGATTGGGTTCTTTTGTAGTATCTTAGATTTACAAATAGATATTTGAATAAACTTAAATCAAATAAGTAAATTAACAATTTTGTTATATTAATCAATAGAAATATTATGTAAAATCTATTTATTAAAAATTAATATCAATAATACTAAGTTTGAAAATCAAAGTTAAGTGTATATATTAGAATATTATGATAAAGATAATACATTCATAATAATTATTATTTAATAATATATTGAAATAAATATATTAAAAAGTAATCTATAGATGAGGAATTAAAATATATATATAATTTAAGATTTAAATTTCTAATAATAGTAATATAATTAAATTAAAGTTATTTAGTAGTTCAAAAAAATAAATTGAATTAAAGAATGTGTTTATTTATATTCATAATTTTAAATTCGTCTATATTAGATTAATATAATAAAAATTCATAATAAATTAACAACATTTCTAGATGAAAAACTAAAATAAATATTTAGGTTTTATCTATGAATTTATAAGATATCTTTAATATTTCAATAGATTATTTTGATATGAAAATTAAATAATTCTGTAGGTTAATGTAAATACTACAAAATTATATGACTTATTAGGTTATAAATAATAGTATGATTTTAAATTAAAATATTTATAAATAAATATGTTTTATGGTATATAATTATCTGCAGGGGAATCATAAACTATTCAGAAGGTAGATGATCACAATTAATTTGTATTATCATAAGCAGTTTTGGTTAAAGGAACCAACCTTAATGTATTAATGAATGGAATAGTCATAGCCTCATTGAATTAAGTATGATTATATAGATCCTTAGAAAATCTCCTAAATGCCTCTTAGAATTAAGATTACACCTGAATCATAAATAACAAAGCTTGAAGTAAAAGGAAATGGAACTGTTCATTTATGTGGATATTATATTCAATTTGATTTATAAAATGAAGATGCTGATTTACAATCAGTTGCCCAATTATTAAAATAAAGTAATCAGATTACTAAACCTCCAGTGTAAAAAGCACCTGTTGTCCCCATTAAAAAAATTGATACCTAACCAAAATGGGATGAAATGGATTGGGAAGATGAATAGTTCTAAAAGAGAATTAAATGATATATATTAAGAATGTGTAATATTAATATGTGACACTTTTTTAATTGATTTATAATGTTAAGCATAATCAATTAAATTATATGTATATTATCTATATTATTACATAAAGAAATATTGATTTTAAGAATATGAAGTTCTTATTAAGAGAATTATTATACTCTTTATAAATATATGATGCAAATTAATGCAATAAATTATAATTAATGAAACAAAATAAAGTTCGTAGAAAGTCTTAACATGATTATCATGATTAGAGCGAATTGATTTACAAGAAAATTATTGTAGATGATTCTCCTTTGGATTTCCATTAAAAGAGACACTTACTATAGTAATTACAATAGAATTTAAAGACAACCAGCATGTCATTTAGTAAAGTAATTATTGCCAATTTAGAAATAAGTCTTCAGCAACATCGAGATTACTCATATATTTAAATGATATGATTATGAAATTGAATCAAATAGAATCAAATCTTGATTAGTAAGATTGCTAGACTTTAGAACATCTAATTCAAGATATGGTGTCATAATACTCATCTATACCTATTCTAAATCAATCATAATCTAAACTTAGATTATAACAACCATAAAAGTAATGGAATGTTAGTGTTAAGTAAGTTTAGTTCCAATTATTATAATAGATAATTAGAATCTTTAATCCATCAATGTATAATAGTATTAAATAAATTACTAATGGATTTAGATTATTCACATCTGAAGGTGTTTTCAATATTTATGAATAAACAAATCTAGTATATCTTATGTTGTTATGTAGACATTTACAAAAAAAGAAAGATCAAATATTAAAAGACAATCTTTCAGTTTGTAGAATATGTGACTAGGAAATAAATATGAATATAATGTAATAACATAGTTAAGGTTGTTTAGAAAAAGCAAATATTAAAAAATTATTAGTTTAAGAGAACTTAATTCTTGCTTCTATTTCAGAAAAAGCATATTAAATCAAACATGATATTCAAGTTAAATAAGGAATGAAATTGTAATTATTATAATTATTAAATTAATAGAATGAAAGAATTAAAGAATTAATCTAAAAGAGTATTTAGACAAGATGATGTTAAAGAAGAAGAGTTAGGATCAATTAATTAAGCATTATCATCTATATATTAACATGCAGAAAAGATATTAAATTAACCTGAAAATGAAGAATTAAAATGTATATAATTTCTTATATTATTAAGCTAATATGTTATTAGTATCAGAATTATCAATGGCATTATTAAATATAACACATTAATAAAGTAAATAAATTATTATTGATGCTTAAAATTCATTAAAAAATAGAATTGAACATTTAAAAAAAATATAATAAATACAAAATAAAGAAACTGAATCTTAAATTGATTCCATTAAAAAGAATTTTTTAAATAAAGCTAATTCTATCTCTTTTATACACTCAAAATTTTCTAATCAATTAAATTAAAATCCTTTGATGAAATAAAACTCTCTTCAACCAAAAACAAAAGCAATCAAACCTTTATTTGGTGAAAAAAATAAATCTGTTCATCTAACTCCTGATATACATTCTAGACCATAATAAATATAAAAATTAAGTAAATTTAAAATGGAGAAATAAAAAGAGGAAGAAGAAGATGAAGATGAAGATGATTTCAATTCTAAATAAATATTAAAAACTGAAGTTATAGAAGATGATGATGTTGATATGAATGTTTAAAAAGAAATCTTCAAAGAAAAAGGATATAATTCTGATAGTGAAGTCGTAACATTTAAAGATAATCAAAATAATAATACAGTAAGAATGGCTGATTTTGATATTATTAAACCATTAGGTTAAGGTGCTTTTGGAGGAGTTTTACTATGTAAAAAGAAAACATCCCAAGATTTATATGCTATTAAAATTATTGATTGTGCTAATTCCTCATTAGAAACTCTTAAAGCTGAACGTAATATTTTTGAAATTTTAACTGGTGATTTTGTTGTTAAAGCATATTATTCTTTTGTTCATGATCATTACTATTGTTTTGTCTAAGAATATATGGTTGGAGGTGACTTTGCCAATATTCTCAAAGTATATGGAGCACTTGATGAAACCTATGTTCAATTCTATTTAGCTGAAATTGTCTTAGCATTAGAATACTTGAGGAAAAATAATATTGTACATAGAGATTTAAAACCTGATAATATACTATTAGATAGTTAAGGTCATGCAAAATTGGCAGATTTTGGGTTGTCTGCTTAAGGTATGAACACTAAATTAAAGAAATAATTGTAGAGGTAGTAGAATTTTAAAATTAAAGGAATTGTTGGAGATATGATTCAAAATTATCATATTAATTATGAACCATAATACAATATCAATAAATCTCATAAAAAATAATCAAATGAAACTAAAGCTATTGTAGGAACTCCAGATTATATCTCTCCTGAAATTATCAAAGGAATATCTTCTGATAATTTTAGTACAGATTATTGGAGTTTAGGTGTCATCATGTATGAAATGTTAGTGGGAGTACCACCTTTTAATGATACAACAGTTGAGAAACTATTTGATAATATATTGAATTTGAGAATGGAATGGCCATAAATAGGTGATGAGGAAGATTGTATATCCTAAAATGCAGCAGATTTAATTAAGAAATTAATGGAGCCAGAATTTACAAAGAGAATTGGACACAATAACATATAAGAAATTAAAGATCATCCTTTCTTTGATGGAATTGATTGGAATTAATTAAGAAAAATGCCTGGTTTAATTGTTCCAAGAATGGTAATAACTGGAAATGAAAAACCAAATTCAGATAAAATTGATGCATTTCTAAAAAATATGAATAAATAAGATGATAAATATTAAAAGATTGCATAAAATATTAAAAAAGAACTCTAGAATTTTGAACGGATTGATTTATTATAATAAAAGAGTGTTGAAGAAGCTTAGATTAAGAAAAAAAAATAATAATTAACAATAAAAGATATTGAATAATAAATTCAGAAATTTCAAAGTTAAATTTAGATCAAATGAGTTATTGATATTAAAATGTATATATATAATTTATACAATTTAATTATTGTCTAAATCTTGTTTAACAATATATAAAAATTAATAAATCAACAAGATGAAGATTATTAAATAAACATTTATATTATTATATGATTTATTTTAATAATTCTATTCTAGAAAGATTCATTATTTAAAAAAACTTAAATTCTATTTCAAATATTTAATATTTTACATATCTAATCAAATACTTTAGATTAACCTTTAAGATTTATTGAAATTCATCAATATATCATTAATAATTTACTAAATATATATACATTAAGTAACATAATTAAATTAAAAAAAATAATATAAATGAATCAATATGCTAGATCAAAGGAAGAAGCTGAAATCACATTATAAGCTATTTCGGATTACAATAAAACATAGAAATAGAAAATGTATGGCATTGTGACCTTTTTAAGTTTTCTAACAATCATAAGCTATGTTTTGGTATTATTGTACCATTATAAATGATTTATAAATATATATAACATCATTCATTTCAATTCTGGTTGAACAGATTTAAGGAATGCTTCTAAATGTTATCCTTAATATTTGAGGAATTCTATTTCTTATTTTCTTTTTTATTCTTCAATTTGATTTCTTTCCTTAATCTTTTTATCCAATGAATCCTTCTTATTAAGTAAATCGATTCTCTAAATAAATGTATTTAATACTTTCTCCTCTAATTTCTATTTCCTCTGTTCCAACTATACTATCTTTTCTTCCAATTCACTTTTTCCCATTTCAGCTTATAATTATTTTCTCATTCCAAAAGTAACCGAAGAATTGTATAAAGTTTAATAAGCTGCTATAGTCATCTTGAGTTCATCTCTCACTCTCATCAATAACAACCCTAAGTAATAATAAATAAAATTTAATACCTCTTTCAGGACAGTCGATTGTAACTTATCTGATAATTTCATCAAAACATTAACTCAACAATTCTTCTCTTATTGGACATATGCCAGTTTCTCTATAATAAGGCTTTTTAATTAAAAATACCTTGCTTATCGTGCTAACAATCGTTCATCCAAAAGTTTTTGTAAATTTCCAACATCTTCTCTGGTAGCTGCCACATGTGACACATATTATATATAATGTTTTCCTTCATGATCCCATTCAATTGGTGGCAAAATAGCATTCAAAATATCCTTGAATTTTCAAATACATGATTTACTTCTGTATTTGGTTTTGACTCTAAAGGAGATAACTAAGCTTTCTTTTTTCCTTAAAGTCCTCTAGTAGCATCATTAGCATTGCTAACTTCAATGGGATTCTCATATTTAACCAAAGATTCTCTAGGAGGTTTGACTTCTTACATAAATTGATTAATTAAAATAATATAAATTATATTCACATCTGTTATTTTTGTAACAAATTTCTTATTCTACTCAATGATTTTCCAACACTTAATAGTCTCTTATTCCTTTTATATAATTCAAATTATTTTATAATTTAATCTGCTAGCATTTAAGACTAAGGAATTGCTTATCTTATACTTTTTCTATCAGTCAAAGACCCTTTTATTAATAATTATTTAGTCTCTTTTTTCTCAGCAGACTTAGGTTAAGATTATTTGTTTAATTCTATTTAGTTTGGTTCTGTATTAGTTCTTCTTCTAATCGGAAGTGTTTTTTTTACCTCACAACGACTTTCAGATAGGTCTTCCTTTGTTCTTGGAAAAACATAATTTTTGTTCATTTGACTACGCATGAACTTTTCTTCTATGGTTGCTTTAAAATCAGAGTAACCATTCACATAAACATTGATTTATGGTTTATATGCATAAATTTTAGTTTATTTATTCATATTAATTAATCATGAATTAGTTTCCTTTCTGCAATCTTTAATTTTGGTAGACTTATCCTTTCCTCTTCCACAGTTCTATTTAATAAATTATATGAGTATTTCTTTGATGGTTTAGGAATCTTACCATTTAATGGTAAAGAAGAATTTAGATTATTTTTGAATTACAACTATTCTAACAATTCTAATCTTTCAATTACTCTCTTTCTCTCACTCATTAATCTCTTTTCCCTTTATAACATTTAATCACTAGCTTCAACATATCCCAATTTAGTTTGCATTTTATTTCCTCTATCCTTATAACGAACAGTCACTTCAGTTTTCTACATACTTGGATTGCTCACTATTAATAGACCATTATTCGAGAGCTTTGTCTATTAATAAGTATTATATTATTTATCAACTTCTGATCCTGAAAATCCTTCCTCAGATCCATGTTTCATTAAATGAGAACTTTCTGAGTTTTCATGAGATTATGATTATAACTTTTATAATTCCTCCCTCATCTTCCTATTTTCTTACATCAATTTCTCAACTTCATTTACTGATAAATTTGCTTATCTTAATCTCTCATTCTCCTCTTAAATTTTCATTAATTTAAAATGAATATCATTACTATTCAATCCTTTTCTCTTCATATTAAGTAACTGTTTCAAATAGTCAATCTATATTCAAATATATTATCTACCTCCTTCAATAATTTATTAACCAATTCTTAATCTGTTGCATTAATTGAATTTGCTTATACTATTTATGTAATATTTCGAGCTCTTTAAGCAAATTTCAATGAATTTGCAGTCTCATCAATATTATATATATTTGGAGCAACATTGACAAATATATTAGTTAATGTATTACCACCAAGACTATCTTATAATAATCTAGTAATTTTTGATTCTCTATATGGAATAGGTAATTTATTAATATTTTTATTATTTTAAGATAGGTTTTGTATTACTTTCCCTAAAGTTGTTAGAGATTAATTAATGCTCTTTAATTCATTTAAATGAGCATTTGTCATTGAATCTTATTTATTGATTTTCTCTGATCCAGCTAAATCACATAAATTGATTTTGGATCTCAATAATTATCCACCTGAATCAGCTTTACTAGTTTCAATTAATAATTGAAATATAGTGTGACTTCTACTTGATTTTAAATTCATTGTTGTTTGTCTAATCATTCTATTCTTCTCTCCTCTCTTCATCAATGTTAAACAATCATATAAATTATTCACTGCATATTCAGTTAATTATTCTAAAATCTTGGATTATATTTACCAACATAAATCCCTTCTGTTTTTGATTCATGAATTTATAGAGCTTGAGGTACTTTGTGATCTTGCAATAAATCATAAATCTTTTCATTGTAGATTTATAAGAATGAACAGTAAACATAATAACCCTATTGTAAATTATTAAAAAGAGTATAAATAGTTCTAGGTATCATACCTGCATGATTTTAATCTGTTTATAAATCATCAATGAATGTCGATTAATGTCCCAAGCTTATATTCAATGAATATTCCCAGTCACTTCCAAACATTGTATGCGTTTTACCTATTTAAGCACGAAAGAAATACCACTGCCTGTTTAACCATATGCCATAATAGTTGTATTGTATCCTTACAATGCTTTATGAATGGTTGGAGATATAAATTTGAATATTTCTGCCTAAGAAACTTTCTCATCAAAAACTTAATCATATTCCTACTTCAGTATATGTGTAGATTGTTCAATCACTACATATTTTTACTATTTTTTAAGAACAAATAACTACTTGATCAGTCTTAATGATGCATTCCTATCCCAACTCTTTTTTCAATAAAGGTCTTACTCTAACATAAACCTTTATTGATTGTTGTTACAAGGATGATTTATTTAATTTTGATTGTTACATTTATTATAAATGAAATAATATATATATTATCATCTAATCCTTTAAGGAGATGTAACTTAACTAATTATCTATTGTAGATTCTTTCTTTATTGTGGTGATTGTACTCTAGATAAAAGATTGTCTAAAACTTCTTCATGTTAACTACTTTCACTTTTTTATGTTTTCTTAATAGATTAGAGCATGTGTTAAATCCCATTTTAGATCTTGTTCACATTATTAGATTTTTTTTCAGAAGAATTATGTTATTTGTTGCCAATCAATAGTCTAGTTTTTAAGTGAATATTTTTTATAAGAATCCTTTAATCTACAATTTAAATATCCTCATTTATATATGGAGGATACCTAAACTCTTATTTTTATATTGATAATATTTGATTTCTTTCGAATTGTCCTTCTGTCAATTATTTTGAATTGTAATTTAAATAAAAGCCTTAAAATTAATTAAAAAAATTACCTTAACCTTAAAAGAATCCATTTTTCAATAGTCCATCATAAATATCTCCACTCTTAAAGATGATTTTTCCTTTGCCATTAAGTGAACCATTTTGAAACCATCCAAAATCTACTCTGCCATTAGTATACTAAATCACTCCCAAACCAGTTAGATCACATTACAAACCATAAACAACTCTATCGTTATGAATATAAATTTAAGGTAAATGATCTTTCAACATTATTTGTATGTCCTCCATCAATTAAGGTTCTTCATTTAAACATACTCGTATGCCATCTTTATATTAAACTACTTCTTTTCCTCTTCTACCAATTTTAACACCAATCCCTTATTGTTTGCCTACTTTAAAATGCCCTTAATAGAGTTATCCATTTTGATACTAGAGTTCACATATACCATCAGCAAATCCTTCCTTAAATTCTCCTTTAATATAACCTCCAACATTAAAAAAGTACACTCCAAATCCATGAATTACATTATTTTTCCATTCCCCATAATAAAAATCTCCATTATTAAAATAACATGAACCAATTCCATTAGGCTTATTTGTTTTCATTTATCCCCAATATTACCCATTTAATAATTTAAGATGTTAAAATGGTTATGATTTTTCAATTACAGAATTGATAGAACTATATATGGTAGAATTACGATTGAATGACTAATTTTCCTTATCTCTCCATTTTTTAATGATTAAATCATGACTGATATTTTAAGATGTGTTTTCATCATTATTCATGTGTTTATATTCGTTAAAATTAATTTAAAATAAGATCATTTAATCCATTTAACTAGTTTACCATCTTACCATTATCCTTTCCTACTCTTTCCATCAACAGTGATATAAGTACCTTCTCCATTTTATTATCCGAATTACCATTCCCCTCTGTATTCTTTACCATCAACCCAACGATATACTCCATAACCATGCTTCTAATCATTCAAATAATTTCCAATATATTTACGACCATCAATCCAACTATATTCTCCTTATCCATTCATCATTCCATTCTTCCATTATCCAATATATCCTCTTCCATCAATCCAATGATAAACTCCTTATCCATGTATTTTATTATTCAACCATTCTCCTTCATAATAACTGTTATCACTCCAAACATATTTACCCTTTCCACATTTCATACCTTTCACATATTAACCTTCATAAAATGATCCATCTGCCCATTTCTCTTTTCCAAATCCATGCTACAAATCATCTTCCCATTCTCCTTCATAATAAGCTCCACTTGGTGATTTTAATATTCCATATCCACTTGCTTTGTTATTTTTCCAATGCCCATCATATTCTATTTTATCTGCATGACGAAATATGCCTTTTCCATTTGCTTTATTATGTTACCATTCTCCTTCATATGTGGCTCCATCTGGCCACTTTTAAATTCCTTATCCATGTCTCTCATTTCCTAACCATTGTCCATTATATAATTTTAGTAATCTATTGAATCAACTCTTTAATACTTTTATGATTTTGACTCATTTCCTAATCTATCAAAATAACTCCCTGTTGATTTGCTAACTTGACTACTAACACTTGTTTAACTCTTTATCATTGAATAAACTTCCTTTCTAACTTTATATCCTCTCCAATGAGATTATATTTTAACTATTGCTTTTGTCTTCTTTTACTTATCTTCAACCATATCAACTAAACTTTTGGTGATAGGTTTTTAAGTTAAATCACTCTTGCTACCCAACTATACTGTATTTTGTTAAACATTATTTTTTGAACTCCGTTTACTAGAAGATTCAATTGGTTTCTCTGATAAAATTTGTTACTGCTCACTTTTCTAAAATAGGGACTTATATTTACGACAATTTCTAGATCTCTTTTATAACAGCCAGCACATTGCCCTGCACAATTATTTCCCATTTATATAATTAATAATAACTGTATAATTTGTATTTCACTTTTTTGAGATAAAACTAAATATAAGTATTATGAATAATGAGAGAACCCATAATTAAAAATATTTATTTTTCTTATCAATATACAAAAAACTATTACACTATTTGTATGATGAAAATATTCGTTATCGGCCTTAGAGCATGCTGTTGTTACTCACATACGAACCCGTGAGTAAGCCTGTATGTTCTGTGATTACATTAACCAAATCTGATATTTATATTTTATAGTCCCCAAGGATTGTTTTTTGTTTATTTTCTTATACAAATCAATTATTAAAATTGATCAATATATTAATTATACTATTTAATAACATATTGAAGAAATCAAACATTCATTCAATATCAATGATTTTTAAACAATTTTTACTAAAAATATCAGAATTTAAAAATAAAAATTACACATATTTCCTATCATCAAAATACAATATTAGAAAGATTATTTTATTGAATTACTCAATATAATTTATAATATATTGAAGTTTAAATCTTAACATATTTAAAATCATACATTTTAATTATTAAGATCAATTTATACTTGTAAATCTGAAGATTTTGATAATTTAATCTGTATATAAATTTATAGTTTTGTTTAGATACTCCATTTTTACTAATTACTATTTCCAATATTATAAAAAATTTTATTATCATATAGACATGACTTTAATAATTTTGATTAAAGAATTCAATATTAATTTTGATGTATTTATAAATCATTCTCTCATCTTGAAGTATAAATAATATTATATTAGAATAATCTAAATTTGTTATTTTATAAAATCAAATCAAGAAATTTTTCAATACCATTTTCTAAAATTTGTAGAATTCAAAATACTTTTTATTTCTATTTTATAAAGTAAAGGCATTAGTTTATGGGTTAGGGTAATACTAAAATATTGTACAATTTTCTATATTATTTTTTTTACTTTTATCAAAATATTTTGAATTAAAGAAAGCTTATAATTAAAAGGGAAATTTTAACAGAAAGAAAAATTATATTAGAGAATAAAAATGTATTTTTTATAATAAACTATAATGTTTGCTTCAGTTTTTTAACATCAAAAATTTAGTATTATTTATGTTATTAATTTTATAAATTTAAAAATAGATTATATAACTTAATTAAGATCACTATTATTTGATATAGGAAAAGAATCTTAAGCACTGTAAATTTTTATCTGAATTAGTATTGAGGATGATTGAAAATATAAAAATGATTATTCAAATTAATAATATAATTCTAAAGTTGATGAATGATCTTAAGATAAAATTTTTTTGGAATATAATATAATAAAGTGGTAAAACGATAAAAATTATAAGGATATCAATTAATAAAAGGATGATTTATTTGATATTGTTAGAGTCAATAAATAATGTAATACGTTCCTTTGACAACACATCTTAATGCTTTGGCTCAATTATATTTGCAATGTGCTAGTTTATCTGAAAGATGCGATAAGTTAGCAAGAGGAGAGGAAATAATCAATGAAGATAAGTAAATCCAGAATCATAAAGATCAAGGAACAATAGAAATTGATTGTGGTCCAGCAGTACTGTAAACTTAGGAGGGTAATAAATAGAGACATATAGAATCAAGATCAAATACACCTATTGAGATAAAGTAATTTCATAATGATAAGATAGCATAGTTGATGAAGAAGAGGAGGAGAATGAAAGAAAAAATGATAATCCAATATCTAATTAAACAAAAAAGATAAAAAGAGCTTAAATTTAAATAGAGACTAAACAATAATAGATATAGTGTTCCTAATGTAAATAACTATTTAAGAATCATAAATAAATGAAGAAGCATTTTGATAGAGCTCATAATACTAAATCTGTAAAGAAAGTTAATAAGAAATTATAACAAGAATTCATGGTTTAACTTTGATATCTTTATTAATAACGTTAATTATATATATATATATAATATGATAGAATACTTTATGGCTGAAATCTTACTTTGTTTTAGTTAGATCTATATAATAATGCGATATATATAAAGAACTCCACTTTGAAGGATATAATTAATAAATTATAATCCTAATGATATATGTAAATAGAGAGAAAAAAACTAGAAATAAAGATAAAAAGTATTTGTAATTGATAACTGATAATATAATTTAAATTATTGATATGAAAAAGTATAAAAAATAAAAGAGTTATTAGGATAAACAATAAGATAAGTTCTGCATCAATGCAGCAGCACTTTAAGATCATTTAAGTAGATAACTCTTTAAGTTGCCTAAAATTAATTCAAAATAATTATCATTAGCCTAAAAATTAGGATTAGTACCATCACCTCCAAAACCTCTAAATTAAGAGGAATGGGCTTAGATTGAGGAACAGTCTTTAAAAAGGGAAGATATTTAAAATTGTGTATGTCCTATTTGTTTAGAGAAATTCAGAATGCAACAACATGTAATTTTGAGTTGTAGTCATATTTATCATAAAACTTGTTTAGAAAGTTTTGAAAGAGTATCATAAACAAAATAATGTCCTATTTGTAGAAGATAGGATTATGAAAAAAAATAATTTATGGTAGCTAATAAATAATACAAAATCTAATCAATAATTAAAATATAAGCATTATTTCGATAATTTAGATGTAGAAAATAATTTTATGAGAGGATGATAAAAATGTAATATAGACCAGAAAATAGTTTATTGAAAAGAAAATTGCTATTTTATAAATTATCAAGAATTTCATCTAGAATGTCAAAGACAATTTAATAATAGGGTAATTAAGCATAATAAGCAATAAATCAATTAGGTGAAAATATTCAAATAAAGTAAGAATAGATGGAAAATAATTTAAATAAGATTTACTAAATGAAACATAATAATGAATAGATGGCTAAATTATAACCAATAATAAAAGTTGATTGGATTAACATAAAGAAATAGGCTCTAGAAAGAAGAGAAGTAGATTGTACAATTTGTTTACAGAGTATGGTGAATGCTAAAGTATTTTTACTTAGTTGTACACACATGTTTCATGCTAATTGTTTGAATTCTTTTGAAAGATATTCAATGGCTTAGATTAATAATTGTCCAATCTGCAGATAGACCTATTAAAAATCTCACTTTTAGTTATAATAATGATTTAATATAATATAAATATTATAGTTCTCTCTATTTATTAATATAGGATTGTAAACAATTAAATGAAATATTAATTAATATAATTTTAATTATAAGTAATAATTATATGGACATAAAGGAATAATATGCCTAATATACTCAAAAAAATTATACAGCAAATGTATTTAAAGTAGGGGATCACAATTTTATATTGGATAAAAGGTACAATCCCACAAATCAATTGGGAAGTGGAGCTTATGGAGTAGTCTTACAGGCAGATGATTTGAAGGCTCCTCCTGAAGGACCTAAAAAAGTAGCAATAAAGAAAATAGAGAAGACATTTTAGCATCGTTTTTATGCTAAACGTACATTGAGAGAATTAAAAATATTAAGGAATCTTAAACATGAAAATGTATTCTTAAACATATCTCCTAGATTGTTAATTTAATTACCATAGCTCTACCAAAATCTAGAGTATCAATGAATGACATGTATTTAAATTAAATAATGTTAGTTATTTGGTTACAGAATTGTTAGATACAGATTTACGTAAAGTATTAGAAAGAGAACATGCTAAATTAACAGAAGATCATTATAAATTATTTCTATATCAAATTTTAAGAGGAATTAAATATATGCATTCAGCTAACATTTTACATAGAGATTTAAAGCCAAGGAATATTCTCTTAAATAAGGAAGATTGCATGTTAAAAGTCTGTGATTTTGGTTTAAGTAGAGCATTACTAAGTTAAGGACTCAATGGTTAAAATCCAAATGTGATGACTGATTATGTTGAGACTAGATATTATAGAGCTCCTGAATTATTATTAGGATTAAAATAATATACTAAGGCTGTAGATATGTGGTCAGTTGGTTGTATTTTTGCTGAAATTGTACGTGGTAAAGCATTATGGAGAGGAGCATCTGCAGAATCTTAATTAAAATTAATCTTTGAAACAATGGGTACACCTAATAAATAAGAAATCAAGAATTACAAAGATCCTTTCTTTTAATAAAAAATGTTAGAAGCTGTTGTTCATTTAGGATAATTTTAAAAAGTTCCATTAGATAAAATAATCAAAGGAATTTCTCCATAAGGATATGATTTATTAGAAAAACTATTAGAAATTGATTTTACTAAAAGAATAACAGCAGATGAAGCATTGGCTCATCCATATTTTGAAGATCTTCATTCTCCTGAAGATGAACCTTTTCGTTAACCAGTAAGTGACAAAGAGTTTGAATTTGAATTGTATGAGTTAACAACAGAATAATTAAAAGGTATTTAATTATTATATAATAAAGATATGGTATATGAAGAAATACTCTTATACCATTTTCCAGATTTTAGAAAAGAATATGAAAGAAAAATAGCTGAAAATGAAAGTGTTATTAAACATATATTAACAGGATAAAGTGCAAGATTAATAGATCCATTAGCAGATGATGATTTTCCTGATTTTTAATGATAAATCATTATTAATTCCTTAGAAATTTTTTTAAAATGGAATCAAAATTGTTCCCACCCCTTGATTAATCTATAATTGATTCCAATTTTGGTCTCATTGTATCATCAGTAGTATGCATATCATCATGTACTTTTCTATTGTTTTTTTCAATAGAAATATAAGATATAAATTTTTAGACTTCAACAAATTTTCTTCTTTTTTCTAAAGCATCAATTAATGAATTTTAGGATTCAAATTAATTAATTTAAATATCAGAATTTTATTATTAGTACTCTATTAAAGACTCACAAACTTGATTGTTTATTTAATTCTAAATAATGAATGATTCTTTTACATTTCCTTAATTTTTATTATTAGTATTTATTTACTCTCTGATGGATTTAGCTCTCTATTCAAAATTAATTTAAGGGAACTTTTAAATCAATAATTATATACTTGGCAATCCTAATATTGATTTAGTTCTATTTTTAAGTTTTCCATCGATTATTAATTTAATTCTTCAACATAATGATAGACTTTTGGCTTATATATAATCAAACATTTAGGGCAATAGAATTATCTATCATCATAAAATAAATAAGCAAGTTAATGTTCATCACACATTTTCGATGTATCTAAAAGAGCATCTAAATTCTTTTGAAATTATTAGTATTCTTTTGAAGATAGCTAAAGCATCTTGTTTATCATTTCTTTTTCATCATTTGTAAAACTAAAATAACTTGTTGTTGCCATTGAATAATTAAATTAATGAATTTCATTTATAATAAGTTAGTCTTATATATAACACTCATAATAACATAAATGAAAATGATATGATTTATATTCTATTTTCTCTAATTAAAACTAATACTAAATTTACATTTAAATCATAAGTAAACATACATTATTATTCATTATTGTACTTTAAATTCAAATCTATATCAACATAAACAAAGAATATTATATACATTAAACATCTAAATGATTTCTATTTGATTGAATACATTTATAGTATAATTAAATATTTATTCAGTTAATGTATTACACAAAATAAGACAAATCATAAGAAAAGATTTTATCATTCTAGTTGATCAAAGAAGTTGTCAAGATCATCTTCTTGATTGTCCACAAAATTCTTTATCATAGGATTTTCAGGTCTTTCGATATCTGTAAAATGAGATTCATAAGATTATGTTGACGAAACACTTGAGCAATCTGTTCTTGAATGTTGCATAATGCGAATTAAAGGTTTAGGATAAGTAATTGTGTGAGTGTTCATTTGTATACTAAAATCTTTAAAAAAATATTAAAATACATTTTTCCAACATCAGGTATTTATAATCAAATTTAATAAATAAAAAAACTTACAATCAGAAAATCTGAACAAATTCATTAAAATGATACTTTAATATATTTGAACATCTATAATTTCTTAACTATCTACTAAAATTAATTCATTACTTTGGAATGAATCTATTTTTGATTTAAATTTCAGTTAATCATTTATTTATATATTTAGAATTTGAAAATACATTAATATATATATATATATATAATAATAATAGTTTAATTAAATTATTTAGATGTAAAAAGAAACATTTGAACATCAAAGTATATATTATATATAAATAATATGAATATATCTTAATATATTTTATATTCTCTCTATTCTTTTAAATAAGAATAGATTGTTTTTTAAAATGAATTGCACAATGACAGTTTATTGCTTTGATTGTGAAGTAATCAAATTGATATGAATAATGTTATATTAAATTAAAAAAACGTAATTATTTAATACTTATGAGTTCTAAAGTTAAGAATGTCTATTTAATATTGCGTCTGCGTTTGGAAGAACTCAGAGTAGTGACTATAAAGACTTTTTAGATTGGAATTAATATTTTACTTTTTGCATCTCTTCGAGGTGATTAAAAAGCAAAAAATCAAAATTCACTTTAACAATATGGTCTTACTTCTCAAAAATAATTACAATAAGCTTAACAAATCTCATCTTCACTTTACAATCACAACTTTGGCAGTTTCTATCCAGAAGTAAATAAGTTTGAACTAATTTGTAGTTTATTAGAGCATCTATTACTTTATATTTAGTAGGATTAGTGATTAATTTACTTCATACTGAAATAATGAATGTAATTAATAAGAAATTCATGTTGTAAAAATGTATTGGAACTATAGTTATTGTATTCCTCCATATATTGGATTTAATGATTATTAATGATTATCTAATATTGAACTCAGAATACAGTAATCTAACTTAAGCAGTATCAGATATATATGTAGATTCAGTAAGAAAATAGAAAGATATGATTTAATTGTTTGAAGCAGTCATCAGATAACTGGTTAACATTAATAGGTAATCAAATTTAATCATTTTTTTAGATTTCTTTCAATATTTTTTTAAGCATCAGCTTTATGGGGAGATGGTATTAGAAAGTTAATAAAAAATAAAAGAAAAACATGGGGAACATCTGATTCTTAATTATCATCTCCTCAACCTTAAGAGAAGACTTAATTAAATCATATACCTCCAGTTAATACTGTAAATAATAATAAGATGAAGGGTTAAAAGAAAGAAATTGTTCAACATTCTGGAAAAAAGAAGAAAACAATTTAGTAATAATAATAAATAGAAAAATCAACTGAAGAAAGAGGTCAATCAATTGAAAAAAGAAAGAAAAAGATTTTAGATAAAAAACCATCTAAATTATCACCAAAATAATATGAATAATAAATAGAAACTAAAATAGAAGAATCTTAATAATTAGCACTTTCTAAATAGGTATCATAAATTCAAAAAGATGAATAAAATAATTCCACTTAAGCTGGTTCAAATGGTAATAAATCTTTGTTTGATCATAAGATTAAATCAAATAGAAGTGAATCACTTCCATCTAAAATTTGTTCATAGATTGAAATATCTTAAAAATATTTGAGATATTCTTCCTAAAGTTAAAAAAAACATATAGAATAAAAAAAATAAATAAGGCCTATTTATGATAAACTGTATAAATTTAATTTATAAACCAATGTTGATAAATATGAAATTAAAGTACATAGTATAATTGAAATGAATAATTCAATTAATAAAATTGCATAAGAGAATTCTTGGAATTCATTCTTAACAATTAATGTAAAATTAAATTATTGGAAAGAAGCTTATCAATAAATGTAAACTTAAGAAATTAAAGAAGAATTGTAAAAAGTAATTGCATAATATGCATTATATTTAATGAATTAACATGCTTAAAATTAAGAAATAGTATAATGATAATTATTATTTATATTGTGATCATATCATAATGTTTATTTCAATTCATTTTTATTAATATATATTTAGAAATGATTATTATTATATCATTTTTAATTATAATTTATATAGATAAATTATTAAGTATTATTATGTTAATATAAAAAAAAAGATATCATTGAAATAAATATCATTATTCATTCATCCAAATAGAAATATATGATACTTTTATTGTAAATATAAATAATTTAAAATCTATAAATTATATAAGATAAATAACATTATTTTTAATTAAATTTTAGAATTAGATCATACTCAAAATAATACTAAATTTAATCTATTTTTGAATTATAATGTCTATCTATAAAATAAAATATATTATCTTAAATCTGTTCTATCAATAACTTTAACTAAAATATTATGTATATTTATTTTATCAAAAGAAGTTTATTACTTAAAATTTAGACTATAAAAGATTATACTTGAAATATTTGAATACTAAATAATGGAAATTTTTTATTCTCTTTTAACAACTAGAGACTTTGAATAGCTTTACTAAATTTTAATAAATATATTAATATAAGTATAAATGGGTGATTTAACTATTTTAAAAAGAAAATTTGAAAGTTTGAGTATTGTTGATGAAGAGGCACCATAAATTTCAAAAAAGAATTTCATTCAAGATGGAGAATTATACATTTTGGGCAAAAAAATCTCATCAATTAATTTGGTTACACCTCTATAGCACATCATAAATAAACCAGACATTGTTTCAACTTGTTTGGCATTAATGACAAAAGATAAATACAATCCTTTCATGTATATTGATAGACCTATTAAAAAAGCTAATGATGAGTAATAATGACATATATAAAAATAATTATAAACTTAATAAATAACTACTTATGTCAAGGCAGGCTAAATTTAATAGTTTATATAATGATCTAGAATACTAAAATTATAAGTAAGTATATTTTGTATTTTAAAATAAGTTTCAAACTTAATTAGAATGCCTGAAGATAAATAATTTAAGGATTGAACATCATTATTAAAATGTGTAAAAAGATTTAGGACATTATTCAAAGTGATACATTATTAATAATAAACTATATCATTCACGTAGAACAATAGTAAATTAAGAAAAATAGATAGTAATTTTGTAATTGTAAAAATAATTTAGAAATATTAATAATATAACAAGAATTTGAAAAAAGTAAGGCTATAATTAAGCAATTAAAGACTATTAATACTAAAATTTATATAGAAAATAAGAATTATTGTTTGTAAAATCAAAAGTGAATTTTTAGTACACTTAGTATTTCAGTGAATAAGCTAACTAAAATAAAGTCTTTTTAAATATAAATGCAGAATATTAGAAAAATAAAACATGAGATGAATGAAGTTTTTAAGAAATATTAATTAAGATAATATAATTTAAAAAGTAATCAGAGTTATATCATAAAAAAAAAGAATATTCAATAATCATACTTTATTATTAAAATAATTATAATAATAATTAGAGAAATTGAAGCTGAAAATAAAGTTTTGCAAAATCAATTTGATTATAAAACTAAAAGAGGATAATATAATTTCACAAATGAATCTAGTAATCAAATTAAAAATGACTTTACAAGTTGATAAATTTACTTAATTTTAATAGTGAAAATGATATATAGATTAAATTTGTTTATCTTATTATTAATTTGATATTGAATTTACTTTATTATTTTTTTATTGAGAATTTTCGTAATAATCTCTTTTTTGTAAATGAAAAATAGAATANATAAAAGATTATACTTGAAATATTTGAATACTAAATAATGGAAATTTTTTATTCTCTTTTAACAACTAGAGACTTTGAATAGCTTTACTAAATTTTAATAAATATATTAATATAAGTATAAATGGGTGATTTAACTATTTTAAAAAGAAAATTTGAAAGTTTGAGTATTGTTGATGAAGAGGCACCATAAATTTCAAAAAAGAATTTCATTCAAGATGGAGAATTATACATTTTGGGCAAAAAAATCTCATCAATTAATTTGGTTACACCTCTATAGCACATCATAAATAAACCAGACATTGTTTCAACTTGTTTGGCATTAATGACAAAAGATAAATACAATCCTTTCATGTATATTGATAGACCTATTAAAAAAGCTAATGATGAGTAATAATGACATATATAAAAATAATTATAAACTTAATAAATAACTACTTATGTCAAGGCAGGCTAAATTTAATAGTTTATATAATGATCTAGAATACTAAAATTATAAGTAAGTATATTTTGTATTTTAAAATAAGTTTCAAACTTAATTAGAATGCCTGAAGATAAATAATTTAAGGATTGAACATCATTATTAAAATGTGTAAAAAGATTTAGGACATTATTCAAAGTGATACATTATTAATAATAAACTATATCATTCACGTAGAACAATAGTAAATTAAGAAAAATAGATAGTAATTTTGTAATTGTAAAAATAATTTAGAAATATTAATAATATAACAAGAATTTGAAAAAAGTAAGGCTATAATTAAGCAATTAAAGACTATTAATACTAAAATTTATATAGAAAATAAGAATTATTGTTTGTAAAATCAAAAGTGAATTTTTAGTACACTTAGTATTTCAGTGAATAAGCTAACTAAAATAAAGTCTTTTTAAATATAAATGCAGAATATTAGAAAAATAAAACATGAGATGAATGAAGTTTTTAAGAAATATTAATTAAGATAATATAATTTAAAAAGTAATCAGAGTTATATCATAAAAAAAAAGAATATTCAATAATCATACTTTATTATTAAAATAATTATAATAATAATTAGAGAAATTGAAGCTGAAAATAAAGTTTTGCAAAATCAATTTGATTATAAAACTAAAAGAGGATAATATAATTTCACAAATGAATCTAGTAATCAAATTAAAAATGACTTTACAAGTTGATAAATTTACTTAATTTTAATAGTGAAAATGATATATAGATTAAATTTGTTTATCTTATTATTAATTTGATATTGAATTTACTTTATTATTTTTTTATTGAGAATTTTCGTAATAATCTCTTTTTTGTAAATGAAAAATAGAATATAAAATTTAGGTAAATTCATATCTTACACTCAAATAACAGTGATGTTGATATTTTTCAATCATGTTGTTTAACAAAAATTTTTTGAATTTACTCACCTTAGTGTTGACATATATTTTGTTTTTCCTATTTTATTAAAATAACACTAAAATTTGATTGATAACTTCTCCAGTTTACTTACTAATAAGAATCAAAAAAAATAAAGTGTTATGGTATTAATTGATAATTTAATAATAATAATGATCAATCTTATGGTTGTTAAGGAACTTCTGCTGGAAAATTAGGTTCTGGTTATTCAGGAAGATCTGGCTATTCAGATTAGACTTATTATGGTTATTTAGGATAGAAATGATTATTTGTTGCTTTATATCCATAACCATAATATAATTATGATAATACTTTATTCTAGTATAAATTAAATAGATTATTACAGAATATACTGTTACTAATCCTGGCCAAACTAAAGATTTAATAATAATAACACCATTATTAACTTTATTATTAGTATCTTTAGATAAAGGATTATAATCTGTTGTATCTCCTACAATTCTTATTTTCCAAGCATTTTTATCATTTGATATAGGTTTTAATCTATTTTCAAATGGATCTGCATTTTCTATTTATTTTTAATAAGCTTCTGGTTCAATACCTTCAGGTAATTCAGATGGTATTAAATGTACTAATCTACCACACTAATATAATAATAATATATAATTAATATACATTTAATATATTTTAATTGAAATGTATCCAATCATTTAATGTTTTTAAATCATGAAATCCTGGTAATTTATATTCAGGTGCTGGATCTATTTCTCTTGGTTCCCCTTCTCTTAAAATATATTAACCTTTAGGAATAATAACAGTAGATTATGTAATTCTAACAATTTATGCTTTTAATAAATGTTTTTCTTTTCCAAAGAAATAAGGATTAGTAATAACATCATTTTCTAAATTACCTGTAAANTAAAATTTAGACTATAAAAGATTATACTTGAAATATTTGAATACTAAATAATGGAAATTTTTTATTCTCTTTTAACAACTAGAGACTTTGAATAGCTTTACTAAATTTTAATAAATATATTAATATAAGTATAAATGGGTGATTTAACTATTTTAAAAAGAAAATTTGAAAGTTTGAGTATTGTTGATGAAGAGGCACCATAAATTTCAAAAAAGAATTTCATTCAAGATGGAGAATTATACATTTTGGGCAAAAAAATCTCATCAATTAATTTGGTTACACCTCTATAGCACATCATAAATAAACCAGACATTGTTTCAACTTGTTTGGCATTAATGACAAAAGATAAATACAATCCTTTCATGTATATTGATAGACCTATTAAAAAAGCTAATGATGAGTAATAATGACATATATAAAAATAATTATAAACTTAATAAATAACTACTTATGTCAAGGCAGGCTAAATTTAATAGTTTATATAATGATCTAGAATACTAAAATTATAAGTAAGTATATTTTGTATTTTAAAATAAGTTTCAAACTTAATTAGAATGCCTGAAGATAAATAATTTAAGGATTGAACATCATTATTAAAATGTGTAAAAAGATTTAGGACATTATTCAAAGTGATACATTATTAATAATAAACTATATCATTCACGTAGAACAATAGTAAATTAAGAAAAATAGATAGTAATTTTGTAATTGTAAAAATAATTTAGAAATATTAATAATATAACAAGAATTTGAAAAAAGTAAGGCTATAATTAAGCAATTAAAGACTATTAATACTAAAATTTATATAGAAAATAAGAATTATTGTTTGTAAAATCAAAAGTGAATTTTTAGTACACTTAGTATTTCAGTGAATAAGCTAACTAAAATAAAGTCTTTTTAAATATAAATGCAGAATATTAGAAAAATAAAACATGAGATGAATGAAGTTTTTAAGAAATATTAATTAAGATAATATAATTTAAAAAGTAATCAGAGTTATATCATAAAAAAAAAGAATATTCAATAATCATACTTTATTATTAAAATAATTATAATAATAATTAGAGAAATTGAAGCTGAAAATAAAGTTTTGCAAAATCAATTTGATTATAAAACTAAAAGAGGATAATATAATTTCACAAATGAATCTAGTAATCAAATTAAAAATGACTTTACAAGTTGATAAATTTACTTAATTTTAATAGTGAAAATGATATATAGATTAAATTTGTTTATCTTATTATTAATTTGATATTGAATTTACTTTATTATTTTTTTATTGAGAATTTTCGTAATAATCTCTTTTTTGTAAATGAAAAATAGAATATAAAATTTAGGTAAATTCATATCTTACACTCAAATAACAGTGATGTTGATATTTTTCAATCATGTTGTTTAACAAAAATTTTTTGAATTTACTCACCTTAGTGTTGACATATATTTTGTTTTTCCTATTTTATTAAAATAACACTAAAATTTGATTGATAACTTCTCCAGTTTACTTACTAATAAGAATCAAAAAAAATAAAGTGTTATGGTATTAATTGATAATTTAATAATAATAATGATCAATCTTATGGTTGTTAAGGAACTTCTGCTGGAAAATTAGGTTCTGGTTATTCAGGAAGATCTGGCTATTCAGATTAGACTTATTATGGTTATTTAGGATAGAAATGATTATTTGTTGCTTTATATCCATAACCATAATATAATTATGATAATACTTTATTCTAGTATAAATTAAATAGATTATTACAGAATATACTGTTACTAATCCTGGCCAAACTAAAGATTTAATAATAATAACACCATTATTAACTTTATTATTAGTATCTTTAGATAAAGGATTATAATCTGTTGTATCTCCTACAATTCTTATTTTCCAAGCATTTTTATCATTTGATATAGGTTTTAATCTATTTTCAAATGGATCTGCATTTTCTATTTATTTTTAATAAGCTTCTGGTTCAATACCTTCAGGTAATTCAGATGGTATTAAATGTACTAATCTACCACACTAATATAATAATAATATATAATTAATATACATTTAATATATTTTAATTGAAATGTATCCAATCATTTAATGTTTTTAAATCATGAAATCCTGGTAATTTATATTCAGGTGCTGGATCTATTTCTCTTGGTTCCCCTTCTCTTAAAATATATTAACCTTTAGGAATAATAACAGTAGATTATGTAATTCTAACAATTTATGCTTTTAATAAATGTTTTTCTTTTCCAAAGAAATAAGGATTAGTAATAACATCATTTTCTAAATTACCTGTAAATATATATTTAATTTATCTAGAAGTATTAATTTATTAAGGTGTAATTAAAGGTAATTCAATCCAATCTTTATCATTTAATAAATCATTGCATGCCCAATATGATTTAGTATTAACTCCAGTTCCTCTAGGTTCAACTTCAGGTGGTAATTCCCCATCTTCAACTTAAGTAGTAGCAATTCCTTCAGCAATATAATAATCCTTTTATCTTCCCATAATTTTACCCCAAAATCTTAATTTTGATGCTTATTTAGTAACAGATAATAACTAATTATATATAATAAATATATTACAGTTAATGCTTTAAATATTTTATAATTTTCATCAATTCCAATACCAGCCCATTCATATAAATATGACTCTTCTATTAAATTTGGTAAATATCCAGTTTAAGTTGCTTCTTATGGTTCTTCATCAGTTCCAAGATTAATTTTATTTATAAGTTTCAATGTCTTTTATTAAATACTTTAATCCATTTTTATTTTTGATCTTTCTGCATTATCAAATTCATCATATTTTTCAAATTTAAATCCATTTGATTTTACTTAAAATGAATAATCTTCAAATAATTCAAATGCATTCTATATTAATCATTATGAATTCATACTTTTGGATTATCCAATAATATTTTAGTTAATAAATTATTCAAATGTTCATATAAATTTGTATTTTAATCCTTTACTTCTTACAGTTTCTCTTTTAGCATTAATAAAAAACTATTAATAAATAAATACAAATATATATATATATATTAAAAATTAAATGTTTTTGATAGCAGAGATATAATTTTAGAATTAAATATTTAAAAAATATATTTTTAATACAAAGCTTATTTATCAAATTCTTCTACAACAAGATATAATTTTTGAATATATTTTTTGTAATAATCTTTTTAAATATCTGAAGAATCCAATAAAAGATAATGTTAACACAATATCTAACAATTCAATTATGAAAGTCTTCTTTAGAACTCCTTCTCCATACTATAATGGTTGAATGCATGCGACATCTCCATTTTTTAGCAAGAATAGGATGACATTATTATTGATTTAATTTTTTTAGATATGAAAATCTATAGCTTAGACTCCATATTTAAAGTATGGCATTCTTAATTTCATAGTATCAATTTTATTTGATTTATTTTCTAGACTTTTCATATCGACTAAATGCATTTTAAGCTTGGATTAAGTACTTTCTGATAACTAATATTAATTAATATGAATAATAATACTATATATATGATTTGATCTTAATGATCATATATAATTTTCTTAAATATTTCTTTTTCTTATTCAAAAATATTTAATTTAATTTTTTTAGGATTCCATTAATCAAATTATTTAGCAAACATAAATGGTTTTATTTTTAAATAGTATAGATATTTCTTACCAAAGGATACTATCAATATATTATGTTCTTAATTGTAATCATAAAGTAATTCAATTTATTAGATTTATTCAAGACTAATCATCTCTTCAGTAATATCTATATTTAAGAATACATTTTTATATTCATTTAAAGCCATTCCAATAATTTTATATTTATCACTTGTAACTCTATGGATAATATAATTATATACTCTAAATAAAATACACCAATTGTGTTTTCATTAAAAAAGAATAATTTCATCACTTGAAAATAT